TTAAAAAAATGTGTGGGTTGTTCAAATGCTAACCTGGGGTGCGCTGTGAGCTGTACCATTAAGAGAGTTCCGAGAATACCAATACCAATAATGACAGCTACCAAACCCTCATTAAATGCCAGGCCCTCACTGTTCTAAAAAATGTTCATGTATTAACTTCCGAGGACTTTTCAGCAACCCTTCGAAGCACAGTCAGAACACAATTTGCAGGGCCCCTTGTTCAAAAATTAAGAACCTGGCATGGTGACAACAGAGCATTAAACCAAGGGAAGGGCCAGCCTTTCTAAGCGCCTGTATGACTGTACAGGTCTTGTACCCATAAGCCAACCCTGGCTAGGACTCTCACCCCATCTTGCAGATGAGGAGGCTGAGACACAGAGGCCTCAAATAAACCTTCCCAAGTGAACATTATTAGTAAGCAGAGATATCAACCTTGGTTGGAGAAGGCTTCCTCACAATCTTTAATCCTCTCCAGTCCTCCAAAGTTCAGCTCAAACACTCCCTTTTCTACTAAGTGTTCTCGTAACTACGCCAGGAACATCTCTTCCTCCTCTGAGATTTTAGCTCCATGACAGCATTTGGCTCACACCTTTCTTGCGGCCATTATCATAGGCCCATGTTATACTTGAGATGCCCGGGGAGAGGGAAGCCCCAAAATGAATGTAGTCAAATGAACAAATTAACAAGAGTACCACCTTGAAGACAGGGAGGGACAAAGAGGGAATTCCAGGTGGGGGACAGGCCTAGGACAGTGACAACCTATTTCTGCAGGATACAGTGACATGGCTGGCTTGATTGGACCAAAGGCACACGTGGGAGCCAGGATGGATAACACTGGAAGAGTGGGTGAGGTAAATTACGAAGCACCTTTAACACAACTAAACAGTTAGTTCTCATCGGCCATAAAGACCTGTTACATGCTTATTTACTGCTTCATCCGTTTTATAAATATTTGAGCACCTACTACGGTGTGAGGCACAATTTTAAGCAGCAAACAAGACAGGCAAGATCTTGCTTTTGTGGACCATCGTTCTAGCACGGGTGGGGACACACAGAGCCAACAGATCATTTCAGGTATTGAGGAGTTCTGATGATCATCAAATCACAGTGAGCACCTGTGGAAACCATCTTTGATGGGTTGATCAGGGAACGCCTCTCTGAAGAAGTGACATCTGAACTAAGACAGGAATGGGAAGGAACAGTTGGGGGAAGAGTGATCCGGGTGGAAGGGACAGCAAATACCAAGGTCCTGAGACTCAAAAATCGAGAGGTGTGTTCAAGGAACAACAAGGGTAGAGCCTAGTGAGCAAAGGGAAGGGCTGTGGGGAGGCAAGAGGATTATTTTATGATAGCATTTCTGCTCTGGGGATTGAAGAGGAAAGAGCAGTAAGTCTCAGCTGCTTTTCTGCAAATGATCTTTCTTCTTTTTTTAAAGATTTTATTTATTTTAGAGAGAGAGGGAGAGTGTGTGCACGTGCGCAAGCAGGGAGAGGGAGAAGCCTCAAGCGGACTCCCTGCTGAGCGCAGAGCCCAACACGGGGCCCCATCTCAGTGCCCTGAGATCACAACCTGAGCCAAAATCAAGTTGGACGCTTAACTGAGCTATTCAGGAGCCCCTCAAATGATCTCTTTTCTAAATTACTTGGAAGGAGTGTGGCGTGGAAAGTCAGGAAAAAGGCAATAAAGTTTGCCTCATTACTAAGCGGGGGGGCCCTCAGGTCTCCAGATGTGGTATTCACCTCCATTCTTCCTCAGTACTGAGGAGGCCAAGGTCTGACCCCTCTTGGGTCTGTTAGCTTTGCTCAGGAAGAAAGGGCATCAGGTCACAGCCTGACTGCTTCTCCCTTGGCAGCGGGTCTTTTCACTCATGTGCCCTGTGGGATGGGTAACTGGGTGGGTAGATGCCAGCAGGTGTTGTCCCTTCACAAACACACTGGTTTCAAAGACGCCAGTGAGCGTTTCCCAGCAAAAGATGCTTGCACTGAGCACTCCACGGAGAGGCTCCCATTTGTGCTCAGATCACCCAGTGGTGGGACAGATTCTCCCATTTCACAGATCCAAAAGGTTAAGTAACTTGTTCCAGATCATACAGCAGGAAGGGGCAGAGTAAACTGAAACCCAGTTTTCCTCTTTAATTTCAGAATTTGTCCATTGGACATGAATATTCTTGATATTCAAAAAGTTACAGAGAATAGCATGTTGAAACCCATGGGCGCCATCCACAGCTCAAGGAAGAGAACCTGAAGCCCCTGTGTGCCTGTGCATTCTACCAAACCATGTGGCCTCCAATTCCTCCTACTTGGGAAACACTGCAAGGGCATCACATCACCCTCCATTGCATAGTGCCAGCCAGAAATCTAGTAGGCTGAGTGCCACCTTCCTTCTTCTTCAATTACCAGGTTCAATTAATTTTGATCCCTACTCCTATTTCCACTATTACTTCTACCTCTCTCCTCTCTACATGTATCCTCTCTTACCTAGAATATTGCAATGGCCTCCTAACTGGTTTCCCTGAATCTCCTCTTCCCCGTTTCCAGTCTAATCTCCACATTATAACCACTAATCTTAAGACCTTTGAATAGCTGCCTTTAATCTTATCATATAGACAAAATCATATGCATGGCATGCAAAGTCCCATATGCTCTTTCCCCTACTCAACATTCCAACTTTATCTCAATCCCTTGTTCTCTGTGTTTTGGGGCTATTGGGCCTCTTGCAGTTCCTTATTATCCCTGTGCTCCCTCCCATCACAGGGCCTTTGCACATGCTGTTCCTCCCTTCTCCACCTGAATAACCCTTCCCTTTCTCAGGTAAACTTTCCCTGAGCCCCCTGACTGGGTCACTCTTTGGCATCTGTCACTTTTACAACTTTACATTTGCTTGTGAGATTAATTAAAATCTTTCTTTTCTAATAGGCCAAAGACCAAGAACCACTCTTAGTACAAAATACATGCTTAATACATAATAGCCAACGTATATATGGCATATATAACATGCCAGGCAGTGTTCCTAGCACTTCACATGTATTAACTCAGTTTAAGATCTCTCAAAAGCCCTATATGAAGTAGGTACAATTCCTAGCCCCATTTTACACATAAGCGAAGTAAGTCACACAAGCTAAGAAGTGGCACTGCTGGGATATGAATGCAGGCAGTTTCTGGAGTCTGTGTGCTGAACACTCGTGTTACGCTGCATCACTAGCCTTTGCTGAATGCAGGCTAGTGCTGAGTGCTTTCGAAAGGGACTAGACAGCACCGTCAGGAACCTCGGTTCAACTAAAAAAAAAAAATCGTTTCACTTGGCTTTCGGCAAGGATCTTATATGTGACTAGAACTTTGCTGCAAAACATATTTTCTTCCCAGCATTTTATTCCAGGTACTTTAAAAATCCATTTGCCCTCACTGGTACTATCATGTGGAGCAAACTGCTGGGGGGCAGGAGGAAGTTGGGTTGGAGTGAGGCAGAATTGTGGATTATTTGTAGTATGGAGAGTCCACTTAAGGACAACTCAAAAGATTTTCATGGATGTCATCTTACTTAATCTTCACTGATTCCAGATAATTTACACACACAGGACAGTGCACCTCCCTTAGGTAATAGGTGAGGCAAAAGGCTGGGGTTAGGAGGGCTGCTAAGCCATAGGAAACCAAGCAGTCACAGGATGGGGTGAGAATGGTTCCCACACTTTAAGCTGCAGAACTGCAAAGACTTCTCTAGCAGAGAAAGACCTCTTCCTCTTTTAAGGATTGAGGGTAGCTAGCCAACCTTTCCTAATTCTTGGGTAGAACCTCTGAGCAAGGACAGAGTCCCTCCTAGGTTTTCCCAGTATGACTAGAGTAGGGTAATTATTCTGCAAGCTCAAGCTATACAGTAAAGGGCTCTATAAACTAGCTACATCCAATTAACTCTAAGTCAATACGGTGAAAATGTAGTAATTCAGATAATTCTTCGCCAGGAGCCCATGTATCAGTCTCAGAGGAAATCAATGTATGTACATTTTCTTTATGTGCATTTTGCTACAGAAAGGCTTTCATTAATTTCTTGCAGGATTTGAACTAAAAAAGGCTAAGAGAGCTACAATCCTTCATGCCTGCAAACACATTCCTCCCGGTTCACGAGTGTGCCTTTATAGGGGTACCTTCGCAGGCTGAAAACATTTCTATTCCTTCAAATAGCTGGTAGCGATGGATGGGGGCATCCAAATGCCCACCCCACTTTAGGCCTCAAAACTGCATTAGCATTCACCTCCTTGAAGGGGGAAACTGCGTGTAAGGCCAAGGGCAGTCAGGGGAGCTTAAGGCCAGTCCTGGGCAGGCCACTAACCGGCTGTGTAATCTTGGACAAGTTGCATACCCTCTTTGGGCTTCAGTTTCCACACCTGCAAATTGGAAGTTGAACCGCATGGTCTTCAAGGTCCTTCCCAGCTGAGAGCCTGGTACCAAGTAGGCCTGGCCATGAAAGCAGCTTCCTGTGGGCGCGGTGCAAGGCTTTAACGGTCCCCCCTCCCCCGCTAGGGCCCGCGAAACCCTCCTCAACACGCCCCTTAGAGTGACGGCGCTTTCCCAACCGCAGCCCGAACACGGCTCCGCCCCTTCCCGGGGGCGTCCCATCGTGCCCCGCGCCAGGCTCCAGAAGCCGCGGGCGCCTCCCGCCTTTCCGCGGCCCCGACCCCGAACTCCTCTCCCCAGTTCTTCTGGGCGCCCTATCCTATCAACGTCTAGCGTCCCAGCCAATCACGCAGGCCCGGAGTCTCGCCTTTGGTCCACCCTCCTCCCAGCGCTCAGCCGGTCTGTGCTCAAGGCCTTTACCAGGCCAATCCAATCAGCGGCCGGCTCTCCCCTGCCCCACCCCAATCTCCCTCCCTCCGACCAATCCGCGCGCCTCATTCCGCAGCCCGCCCAGCCAACCCGGGCCTTGAAACTAGCGGGCGAATGGGCGCAGGGCGGCCCTTCAACGCTGACCTCCTGGCCAATTGGGGATTCCGCGTGGCCACGGCGGCAGCCAATCGACATGGAGCGCGGTGCTGCCGCGGAGAGGTCCGGCCCGAATATCCCTCCGCCTTCCTCCTCCCTCTCTCTCCCTCCCTGCGAGCCGCCGATCACTTACCGCCTCCCTTCCTTCTTTCTCCCTCCGCCACCCGAGCACCAGCCGCGCTCTGAGCTACCCCCGGGGTCCCTCCCCCGCCGCCAGAGGAGCAGCTGCCGCCGCCGCCAGCAACAAATTAGGAGGGAGGAAGGAAGGAAAAGAGGAAGGAAAGGGAGCCGGGGCGACTACCAAGAGGGAGCCGGTGAATGGGCTTGTGGTGACCCCCGCCCCCCACCCCACCCTCCCTTCCCACCCGACCCCCAACCCCCATCCCCAGTTAGAGCCGCCTCCCAAGAAGCCGGACCGTCGTCTTAGGAGGAGTCCCCGCCACCACCTCCGCCATGGAGCTGATCACCATCCTCGAGAAGACCGTGTCTCCCGGTAGGACGCGGGGGCCGGGGGTCGGGCTGAGGTGACCGGGTGGGGGGAGGGGAACCCCTGGCCCCTCTGACCCTGTCCCCTTCCCACTTTTCCTTCCCCCCAGATCGGCTGGAACTGGAAGCGGCGCAGAAGTTCTTGGAGCGTGCGGCCGTGGAAAACCTGGTGCGTGCCACCCCGCCGTCCCCCATCCCGCCGTCCACCCATCCTCTGCGTGCGGGCCTTCCCGCCCTCCCGGAGGCCCAGGCCTCGGGAACCCACCCCGCCCCATCCCGTCCCCCTCCTCCCCCACCCCGGTCCAACCTAACCCCGCCATCGGGAAGCCGGTGGGTGTGTCCCGCCCCGGGCCCCGGCAGCTGGCCAATGGCGCGGCGCGCCGGGGTGACTGCCGCCCAATCGCCGCGCGGCCTGAGGGCGGCGGTGCAGCGGGAGGGAGAAAGAGGGAGGGAAGGGAAGTTAGGTTGCGCGGCGCTGCGTGTTCAGCAAGGGTGGGGGTGGGGGAGCCGGGCCTAGGGGCCATGTGGAAGCTCTGAGCCCAGCTGCCCGCCCTGATCTGACCGGGGCCGGCTTCTCCTTCCTGTCCCGTGGCCCCTGTTATTCTCTCCATCTACTTCCCAGAGTCTACCCTTTCCTATGCCCCGTGGTAGTGTGCTCGTGGCCAGGCCTGGCACCCGAATACCTCCTAACCCACTCCGGCAATATTTCTCCCTTTACTGCTTGGGTATTCCTCTATGGGTTATTTATTTTTTGGTGGGGTTGATTGGGGCTTTTTTGCTTTGTTTTGTTTTTACTTCGATGGGTAGAGACTGAATTTGTACCCATACAGCAGGCTGAGGCTCATCCTTGATCAGGCCTGTTCCCAGATGAAATCACAGAGGAAAGTTCCTCCTTTTCATATTTTCATATTTAAGGGGTGCAGAAAAAATGAAGAGAAGTCCACTAGACTGGACCTCTGTATAAAAATGTGGGATGGATTGGTTGAAACAGCCTGTGTGCCAGTAACGTTTCTCTTTGATGTCCCTCTTACTGCGGGGGTTGGGGAACAGATGGAAGGGTGGATGATACTTGACATCTTTTAAAGGTAATAGGTAATAAGCCTAGATAACATTGTAACCCAGCATGTTCCTTTGTAGTCCAGGCGAAATACAAGCAAAAAAGGGACAAGGCTTATTTTATACAAACTGCCTTAAATGACTTTTATTGTGCTTTTATGTGCTAGCTTTTACTATTTTTTATTAACTTTCCATAGAAAGGATTTCTTTTCTACTAGTATAGATCAATACTTCCATGTGGGGTATATTCCTGTTTCTGCCTCTGCTTATTTACAAGAAGCCTTTTATCTTATTCTTAACATTTTATCTTTCTGACATTCCTAACATTCCTTAGTGGTACATAATTAAAAAACTTTTAAGATTTATTTTCTGCTGTGATTGCAGGATTTGGTATCTGCCCTTGATTTTTCTTGTTAACTTCCATTTGGACAGAGCTTTCTGCAGGGAAGAGGAGTGTATCTTAAAATTTTTAAACAGGGAGTAGTTTTGGGGACCTGTGCATTATGAAAGGTTGAGTAAGGTTTTCAGAAACGCACTATGTTCAGTGGACAGCTCAAGTCCAAAATGTGTAGGAGCCTTTAGTGTGTTAACCGTTGACTGTTAAACGTAAAATCTTTTTTCTTGGCAAATTTGCCTTGGCATTTTTATCTTTTCACTTTTTCCGTGTTTCTAAATATCAAATTTATAACTAAGTCTTTTTTCATTGTTCTCTCGTTGAACACGTAAAGCTAAAACAGAGGATTAGCCTCCTAAATCTCTGTTTCAGGTTTGTAAGTTTTTACCTCTGTTATGCAAGATTACCTGCATGCATGAGATTAAAAGCCTGAATATTACTCTTTTTGGACTAAGATACTTTAAATTTAGGGAAACAATTTTACATTCTATCCTGTCTTCACATATTCATTCATGTAACAAATATTTATTGTCAGGCATTGTTAAATAGAAGAATCCTCTGACTAGTAGATTGTCAAACTTCCTTTATTTCTGGGAGATCTAATGTGAAGATTTGAGCACTAAGAATGATATTGATAGGAAAATCTGTACCTCCTTGTTAAATAAGTGCTGAGGATGCATGAGAAGAGGGATGACTTACTTGTGTACCATGTAACATTTTTATAAGAGTCTTGAAGTAGATACTGTAGCATATTCTGAGATGTTATGATATGTTCTAAAAAACTTAGGTTTCCCCCAATGTTTTGGTGCTCTGTAAGCTATCCTCAGTTGGTAAAATTCCCAAGAGATACTTTTCATTCACAACTGCCTCCTCTCTTAATAGCCCACGTTCCTTGTGGAACTGTCCAGAGTGCTGGCAAATCCAGGAAACAGTCAGGTTGCCAGAGTCGCAGCTGGTCTACAAATCAAGAACTCTTTGACATCTAAAGATCCAGATATCAAGGCACAGTATCAGCAGAGGTGGCTTGCAATTGATGCTAATGCCCGACGGGAAGTCAAGAATTACGTAAGTAACTTTATCTCCTTTTGGTCATGTTAGCCTCTGGGAATAAGGAACCTCATCCTCCACCCACCCACCCTATCCTCTCCTCCTGGACCCCCTACAAGAAACATCTTGGTCAGTGTTTTTGTCATTTACATGGGATAGAGCTGACAGTGTGATAGGTTTCTGAGACTTAAGCTTCACTTGAAGATAAAAATTGTATTTGATTTAAATTTTCTTTCTCAGCTTAGCTTTTCTGTACTATGCTGTCATTTCCCATTAATGAATGCATTGGAATTCTTTTCAGAAACTGAAGGTAAACTGTAGCAGTTTAGGGAACTTTAACTGGATGCCAGAATTTGTAGAATCTGTGGTGAATTGGCATAGTATACAAATTGGTGGTTCCCAAACTTGAACTCTGAGAATCACTTAGGGAATTTGCTAACAATAATATATTTCCAAGCTCCCTCCAGAGATTCTATTTTGTTAGAGTGAGGCTCAGGAATATTTTTAGATATTTCTGTCTTTCTAAGTGATTTTTTTCATAGTCACCTCCTCTAGTTGAACTTATGTTGTAGATAATTTTCACTCTTTGGTGGTTTAGGCTTGGTACTATGTGGAGTTCAAAGGGGAACTAAATAATCTCTCGGGCCTTTTAAGCCCAAAGAGTTTGTGAAATAAGAATGTGAAGTTAATGGTGCTTTTATCTACTTAGCAAATTATGAAAAACTTTGTTTAGAAACATCTGGCTCTTTATCAGGGCGTTTAAAGAGTGGACTGATGAGTTTTGAGGAAAATTGAATGTCCCTTGCTCTGCATCATGGAGGTCTTATGACTTTGTTGTTGAGTTAAAATCCGTAATTCTAGCCGCAGCAAAAGATACTCAGAATATATGGACAGGTGTCCTCCCCATCCCCCAGTTAATGAGGTTCTTTAGTGGTCTGTCTTATGTGGATAAGGCACAAAATGGTAAGTCAGGCACTTGGTATCTGAGGGGAAATTGGTGGGGGGGTTTTCCTAATTGTGTACTTGCACATGTCATCGTATTTGCTATTCACTGGTTCGAGGTATCAGTGTTAGGTAAATTTGTGCGCCTTAAAGCAACAACATTTCTTTCAAGTTATATACCCCTTCTCTTTCTAGTCTTTCATGAAAGTACTCATGACTGTGGGAACTAGGTTATGAAAGCCAACTTATTTTGAATCTTCTTTGGAATATGTAGAGCTATTTCTATCCACATTGGGTCTGCTTATGTAATAACATTTTAATCTTCCTTTCAGTAATTTGGTACAATTGAAGTTTATTCTTTCAGTCACAGGACATCTTGCTGCTTGTAGTGCCCATTCAGTTTCTCATCTTGCTCAAATCATGCGATAGTAAATGAGATGAGAAATGATTGGAACTATGATTGACTCTTTTTGGCCTATCAGTCTTAACACTTTTTTAATATTTGGACAAGACTTTGTATATGTGTTGTTGAACTCTTCTGCATGAAAGAAAGTTAATCATGGCCTTTTTCCCCTTTTCATAGCACCTCTGGAATGAATACTTTCTCAGTGTTGATGGTTATTTCTTTTTTGAAATGTGGGTCTTGGACACAGTAGAGGGTCACTCCTTTATTCCTCTTCTTTCTGATAATTGACAATTATCATTAGGGTTACCCCCTAGCTTTAAAAAAACAAAACAAAACCTTTCTGTACTTAAGAGTTGTACCTTTGTGGTCTTTAAATCACCTCAAATAATATTTAACTAGGGGTCTTCCAGAAGCCATTTAAAGGAGGAAAGATAAAGGTACAGTGGGAGTCGGTGCTCTCCACATCTGTACCAGGAGATGGTGTGGTATAGTGTAAAGGCACCCTGAACTGGAACTCTTCGTCAGACTTGGGTTAATACCTGTGCAGCTCCAGCTGTTTTAGACCGATCATCTCATCCCTGCCTCTCCACACCTTGTCTTGACATACAGTTTTTCTTAAAGTCCATTCTAGCTGTGGTAGCTCTAGAGAGCAAAACCTTCATTTAGAATCAGAACAGTTTGTTACTGGGCAGAGCTTTGGCAGTGGGGGCGGGCAGGGACGATGATATACAGTATGGGGGAAAGATGGGGAGTTCATTATTATTAGCTACAAAGCAGGATACTAAGTGACCTGACCCAGTCAGCAGAGCTAGCCTGAATATCTGGCAGCTACGCTTTGTCCTGTGTTCATGCCAGGAACAGTTCACTGTTTGCCTTTTGAGTGGACTGGTGATTCTTAGTGAGTTCATTGACTGGATTAGCTGATCGTGGTAATAATTAACTGTAGGCCAGTTGTGGCTTCATTCTCTATCTGTACTTGTGCCCTTACCCTTTACATAAATCCTGGTGTGATTATCATTTCAAACAAGACCTGTTTAATGATAAGCTGATCTCATTTTAATTGGCAGATCTAACTAGTTCTTGGTATCTGTTGATGGTGGAGAGAAGAGTTCTTTGATTCTTGGGTAAACAGAACAACTCCTTCCAGATTGGAAGTTAAGTAAAGATTTGTTCTTAGGTGTTGGTAACGTCAGTAACTTTGTATCTGCATCTAGTGAGGTTCCCTGACCAAGGGCCTTTTATGAAAGTCACCCCAGGTGTTAAATTGTCATTGACCATAGGGAAGGAGGCTTGTTGCACATTTCATGAGTTGGAAGATCTCTTCCTTGGATTAGGCTAGACCACGATGTACTGTGAATCAGACCCATTTGAATGCCCAAAGTTAGCCTCATTCTAAAGTTCCACATTTTCTGTCCATAAAACAAGGCTGTGAGCATCCTTCCATTGCACGTCTAACAAGGAGCCTAGAAGGTGAATTTTGCCCTCTCCTTTGCCTTCTAACATTGTCTTCCTTCTGACTGTCACTTTCTTACCTTGCATTGAACATTGACGTGAGATGTGTGGCTTTGGAGAAGTCCTTTTGGAAGCAGGGAGTAGTTGGTTTCGTTTTCTAGGCTCTGGGGCAATGTTGATTGTGCTGGTGCTGGTAGTGAGGCTGGTGGTTTCTTTTTTGTTTTGACAGCTGACTAAATTGTATATGCTTGTTTCTACTTTTGTGTATTGCAGAAAATTCAGACTGATGTAAGAGGTGTGGTGGTAGGAAAAAGTGTTCAAATAGTATTAGAAATTGATATCTCTCGTCTTGTTTTGTGTGTGTGTGTGTGTGTGCGTGCAGGTTTTGCAGACTTTGGGCACAGAAACTTACCGGCCTAGTTCTGCCTCACAATGTGTGGCTGGTATTGCTTGTGCAGAGATCCCAGTGAACCAGTGGCCAGAACTCATTCCTCAGCTGGTGGCCAATGTCACAAACCCCAACAGCACAGAGCACATGAAAGAGTCGACATTGGAAGCTATCGGTTACATTTGCCAAGATATAGTAAGTACTGCCCCTTGTACCTAACCTAACACAGCTCTGATTCCCTCTAGTTGAGACATGCGTAGTATTAGGATTGTTCTTACACGATGGAGGAAACCAAGCTACTACAGAGTGTTTTGCAAGTAGGACTGCTTTATTTAATCTAGACTTCCATATTTGGATAGCTAACTTATCCTCACATTGCTAATCATGCCCTAAAGTAAAGAGAGTTGAGAATCCCAAGCTCAGAGTAGAAATCTGTAGGCTTGGAGAGGTATAGATAGATTCTAGACTTTTAAAAGAGGATATGCTCTGTTGTGGAGCATCCCTGACCTGGATCCCTTTCTCATGATCCTCAATGTACCTCAGGATGCTGTGTTACTTTTCATTTACTATTTCACAGAAACACTTTGCCAACCCTTGCAGTAGTTGGCTTAGCCACCGGAGGCACAGCAGTTTGTGAGATGCAGCCCTCCTGGGACTGTAGCTGCTGCTGAGGTTACCACCCTTGGTGTCTGTTTCCACATACAGACTTTTGATGAAGCAAGGAAGTCCACACTTGACCTGGACTTAGACTCCCTAGGTGTTGTGCCTGGGCGTTGATCCTTGGCCCTCAGAAGCTTTACTTCGGTTGATAAAGATGGCCTGGAAAAAACACCAGACTGCCATTTCCCTTTGCACAGAAGGGGGAAGAAAAAGCCAGCATTACCTCATGCCCAGAGTCATTATGCTTAGAAATCAGATGAAGTTGATGAATTTAACTTGTTTCGGTTCAATTTTGGACTGGTAGGCCCCGGGATATTTTGCAGGTGGTTTGTCCCTAAATGGAAATGTGTGGAAAAAGATCAGAGAAAGTCATGATACTCACTCGAGTGGATTTCACAGTTAAAAGGACTGCTGATTAGTCATGAGCTCATTATTTTACTCACTGCACTTCTCTGCTTGTTTCAGGACCCAGAGCAGCTACAGGACAAATCCAATGAGATTCTGACTGCCATAATCCAGGGGATGAGGAAAGAAGAGCCCAGTAATAATGTGAAGCTGGCGGCTACAAATGCACTCCTGAACTCATTGGAGTTCACCAAAGCAAACTTTGACAAAGAGGTGAGTCTCTTTTGACAAAAAGGTGTAGTAGGTTCACAAGGTAAGAAGTAAGAGTTAAATGAAAGGTTTTTTTTAAGTTTGTGGTTTAGAAAGTACCATCTTGTTTTTAGGTGCACTTATTTCCATTCTAGTTGAGATTTGTGTTGTTTGAGAAATGGCCACGGAGTAGGTGTGTTTGTTTTTGGGAGGCTTTGGGGGAAAATGTGATCTGAAGTGTTTCTAAGCTTAGGTTTCTCCTTTTATAGAGCAAAGTGTGGGTATGCTCTGGGATTTTAAAAAACATGGAAGTTGGGGCACCCGGATGTCTCAGTCATTTGAGCCTTTGACTCTTGGTTTCCGCTCAGGTCATGATCTCAGGGTCCTGAGATCGAGCCCCACGGCTGGCTCCGTGGTCAGCAGTGAGTGTACTTGAGATTCTCTCTCTCTGTCCCTCTCCCCACTCGCGCACCCACACGTTCTCTCTCTCTCAAATAAATAAAATCTTAAAAAACACAGAAGGTTGTAGAACTTACTTTAAAAAAACAAAACTGGCGGCTGCCTGGCTTAGTCGGTGGCGCATATGATTCTTGATCTCGGGATCTTGAATTTTGAGCCCCGTGTTGGGCATAGAGTTTAATTTAAAAAAAATTATATAAATTGGGCTAGTTCATAACTCCTTGGAAGGTGCTTTTGAAAATTAATAATAAAGTTTATCTTGCCTGGAAATATTTCCCCCTATTATTTAAGTTGTGTAAAAATACGCAATAACATAAAATTTACCATTTTTAAGCATTTTTTTTTTTTTAAGATTTTATTTATTCATTTGACAGAGAGACAGCGAGAGAGGGAACACAAGCAGGGGGAGTGGGAGAGGGAGAAGGAGGCCTCCCGCGGAGCGGGGAGCCCGATGCGGGACTCGATCCCAGGACCCTGGGATCATGACCTGAGCCGAAGGCAGACGCTTAACGACTGAGCCACCCAGGCGCCCCATTTTTAAGCATTTTTTTTTTTTTTTTAAGATTTTATTTATTTATTTGAGAGAGAGAGAATGAGAGACAGAGAGCACGAGAGGGAAGAGGGTCAGAGGGAGAAGCAGACTCACTGCCGAGCAGGGAGCCCGATGCGGGACTCGATCCCGGGACTCCAGGATCATGACCTGAGCCGAAGGCAGTTGCTTAACCAACTGAGCCACCCAGGCGCCCCATTTTTAAGCATTTTTAAGTGTACAGTTTAATAGTGTTAAGTTACAGTCATGTTATTTTACAGCCAGTCACAAGAACTTTTTCATTTTGCAAAACTGAAACTGTATGCATTGAACAACTCCCCATTTTCCCCTTCCAAGTGGCAACCGCTTTTTTTACTTTCTGTTTCTATGATTTTGATTACACCAGATACTTTAAGTGGAATCAATCATACAGAATTTGATTTGTCTTTTATGACTGGCTTATTTCATTTAGCATAATGTCTTGGGTTCATACATGTTGTAGCCTGTGTCAGAATTTCCTTTTTCAGGCTGAATATATTCTGTTGTATGTATAGACCACATTTTGTTTATCCATTTTCTGTCTGTGGACTTTTGGGTTGCTTCCTTTCATCTTCTGACTATTGTGAATAATGCTGCTATGAACATAGGTGTACAAACAGGTCTTTTGAGGTCCTGCTTTCAGTTCTTTTAGATCTATACTCAGAAGCAGAATCACTGGATTATATGGTCTGCAAGTATTTTTGTGTATTTGTTGACACTTGAGCTGTGCTTTTTGCCATTTCTTGGTCTTATTGTCAAAGTCGGGAGGTCTAAGAAGCCAAAGCAAATTGCAATTCTAATTGCTTAGAAAACAGACTTTTTCCTTATAGATTTCAGAAGACTTAGGACAGTAGCAAATAACTATATTGCTCTGTTCTCCTGTATCTTCCCGTGTTTGATGGGGATTTGCCACCTTCCAGAAAACAAATTTGTCTTTGAAGTAAATTTTAAATATAAAGAAATGGGTTTTCCTAATGTAGGTTTTTTGTTTACCATTTTTATTTAAACCCGTGACCTACATTTTCCTATTTACTTCCTCGGAGTCTTGTTAGTGAAGGTCATTTTGGGGATTAAAAGATTAGGGACCTCTTTAGAGGGCAGGTCATATAGCAGACACTGGGGGCAAACTCTTGATAGCCTTCATGGTGCCATTACTGTGTCAGGGGAAAGCTGTTTGATTGGTTCAGGGTTATGAGGTCTCTGAGGGGAGTACAAGGTTTTCCCTGAAGAGATAGTCTAGCAATCTCCATATATATGGTTGGTAGTCTTACTCTCTTGATCTTTGTTCTTCCTGCAGTCCGAAAGGCACTTTATTATGCAGGTGGTCTGTGAAGCCACACAGTGTCCGGATACAAGGGTGAGTGTGAGCTCCGATGAAAAATCTGTCTTCCATCTTTCCTGGGAAATGCCATCTCCAGCATAGTGGTTTGAAATGTTGGGAATCGGGTGACTTCAGAAATAAGGTTTGGCTAATACCGTTCTTAATAAAAGAGGGAAAAACAGTATTTGGAAAGTTAACATAATGGAAGTTGCCATTCTCTTAAAAGGTTTAAGGAAGAAATGGTTTTTGATCACCCTTGCTACTTAATTGCTCTAAGTTATACAAGTGACTGTTTTTCATTGTAACCATTGAAACAGCTTTGCTATTGCTATAACCTAAACTTTGACCCTTGAAATAGGTGGGAGTAACATCCAGTCTGAGTGGCATTCCTGAGTTTAGTCCTCTGTAGGTTCCACAGGTGCCTTTAAAGGGGGAAAAAAAAAAGAGGAAAAATAAATAAAGATGGTGAAAAAAAGGAAGAGATTTATTTTGGGGAAATGTTGACATTACCCAAATGTACCTCAGTTGACCCCTTTAAGTTACCCATTTATGTGACTTAATCTTTGTCCAGACTACGTTGTTAAACTAAATAACAAACTAATCTTTTCTTTGTAAAAGGTACGAGTGGCTGCCTTACAGAATCTGGTAAAGATAATGTCCTTGTATTATCAGTACATGGAGACGTATATGGGTCCCGCTCTTTTTGCTGTAAGTATTTCTGTTTATGTATGTGAGCATGTAGCTAGTTGCAAAACTCATCATTCTTGCTGGTTTGTCACTTCTGTAATTTTTTTACTTAATATTATGAAATCAAGGAAATTCCTTGAGTCTGAGTTAAGCCATCAGTAATGTGCCAAGAAGACTTCTACTGTCTTTGTGCTGGGAAAGAGTATATTTTCAAAGGCTTTTTCCTATTTCTACCTTTCATTTCAGACCCAGCTTTCATAAATCTGCATTTTTGACACTTCAATATATGTGGTTAGAAGTCGGGGGGTGTGTCTAACTTGAACCAGCACTTAATTGGGGTCTGGGATGTCTTTTTTTTTTTTTCCCCGTCTTAAGATCACAATTGAAGCAATGAAAAGTGACATTGATGAGGTGGCCCTACAAGGGATAGAATTCTGGTCCAATGTGTGTGATGAGGAAATGGACTTGGCCATTGAGGCTTCCGAGGTGAGCCTGGGAGAGTCGGAGAGTCGGTGCGGCGAGAGAGTTGTTTCTCTGACAAAGCTCCTTTGTGGGCATTAGTCTCCTCTGGGAACGCTTTATTCTGACTGGGCTTAGAGGGCATCTCCATTTGTAGAGATTTTGCTTTCTCCACTAGCCAGAGCCCCTCAGGAGGGAGACAGACCCGTAATGAGGCATTTCATGCTTTACGGATCACCCAGACATGATTTATTATAAATGTTGATATTAGTACCATGAACACAAGGGGGCAGCAGGCATTCACAGTTTAACAAGGTGACGTCCAAAGCTGAATTATTTCCTTTTGGAAGTCCTAATGAAAGCATGGGATGCATAACTGACAGCTTACTAACTCTGGTGAAGAAATTCGATAGACACAAAGGGGCTGGTTCTGCACTTGCAATCTCAGAACCCAAGCTTTGTTTCCAGCCTTAAACTGTCCTGCATACTTTAAGAAACACGATTTTATTTTTGGCATCATTACGTAAACTTAGTACACCTCTCGATCCAAAGGTTAGTTAGATGACAGCTTGTTAATACGAATTCAGCTTGTGAAAAAGGTAGTTCTTAAGGTTGCCTTGGTCTTTTAAGGTAGATTATATATGTATGGTCTAAAAGAATCCCATTGAAGTAGACCAAAGAAATGAGCGCCTCCAAAAGATCACAGTGGATGGTACATTTGCTCTGTGTATTTGTGTTCAAACCCCTGGGCAGCTCTCATTGTATGCCTCTAGTATTAGGCTGTTTGCTGCTGTCCAGAATTTGCTTTTATGTTTCTCCTCAGGCAGCAGAACAAGGACGACCCCCTGAGCACACCAGCAAGTTTTATGCCAAGGGAGCACTACAGTACCTGGTTCCAATCCTCACACAGACACTAACTAAACAGGTGAGTAACCTCGCAAATCGAGCTGGTTAAGCTGTGAGACATTGTTGAGGGTTAGTTTACTGTGGAATAGTTTCCATGAAGGAACTCGGCAACTCTTTAGCTGGTTGCTGTTTGGTTATAGATGACTGGGAACAGCCGAACTGGATCTCTTAAGATCCTCTAGGCTCTGAGTTGTTGGTGAAGGAGAGTTGAACATTTCAGCCTCGATCGTGCACAGGCTATACATACAGATTCCTGAGTGCTTTATTTGTCCGTAGTAATGCAGGAGACACGCTGCTAAAGTGGCAGTAAAGAAAGGTTGAGAAGAGGGATGTGCTAATCTTAGGCCACTCGAATATCTGCTAATATTTGAATTATTTTCATGGGTTCACAGTATATATATACATTTAAAGTGCTGATGAAGGGCGCCTGGGTGGCTCAGTTGGTTGGGCATCTGCCTTTGGTTCAGGCCATCAAGCCCCACATAGGGCTCCCTGCTTGGCGGGGAACCTGCTTCTCCCACTCCCCCTCTGCTTGTGCTCTCTTTCTCTCTCTCTGTCAAAGTTTAAAAATCTTAAAAAAATAAAACGAAGTAAAATGCTGATGAGGTTGGATTAGAATTATTCTGGGGTCACCTGGGTGTCTCAGTCCATTAAGTGTCCCTACTCTTGATTTTGGCTCAGGTCATTCATGATCTCAGGGTGGTGAGATCATTAAGCCCCACGTCGGGCTCCATGTTTGGTGTGGAGCCTGCTTGAGATTCTCCCTTTCCCTCTCCCTCTGCACGCCCCCCACACACTCTGTTTTTCTCTCTCTCTTTAAAAAAAAAAAAATTTAGGGGCACCTGGGTCGCTCAGTCGTTAAGCGTCTGCCTTCAGCTCAGGTCATGATCCCAGGGTCCTGGGATCAAGTCCCACATCCAGCTCCTTAGCGGGAAGCCTGCTTTTCCCTCTCCCTCTGCTGCTCCCCCTGCCTGTGCTCTCCTGCTCTCTCTCTGTCAAATAACTCAATAAAATCTTTAAAAGAAAAAAACACAAAATTAATCTGATCATTCATGATCATTAATATCAATAAGATTCAGGACAAAATAAAAGTAGCAACACTTCACGAAGATGTGGGTCTAATGGGTAAATATAGAAATCCTTTTTTTTTTTTTTTTTAGATTTTCGGGGCGCCTGGGTAGCTCAGTCGGTTAAGCATCTGCCTTCAGCTCAGGTCATGATCCCAGGTTCCTGGGATCGAGCCCTGCATTGGGCCTCCCGCTAGGAGGCCTGCTTGTGTTCCTGCTCTCGATATCTCTCTCTCTCTGTCCCATAAATAAATAAAATCTTTAAAAAAAAAAAAAGATTTTCTTTATTCATGAGAGAGAGGGAGGCAGAGGGAGAAGCAGGCTTCCCCGCGGAGCAGGGAGCCCAACGCGGGGCTCAAACCCAGGACCCTGGGATCATGACCTGAGCTGGAGGCAGATGCTTAACCGACTGAGCCACCCAGGCGCCCTAGAAATTCTAAGAAGTGTATGTTGGTTGTCATTGTCCCCTTTGAAGCTTAGGCATCACAGTTTCCCTTGGTACGGTGTTTGGAAAGATTCTTTCTGTCCCTCCTCTCCTTTGATGCATATGAAGTATTCCCGGAGAGACGGCAGTGCTCTGAGGAAACATTGCTGTCACTTGGAGCATTGCACAACCCTGTACGCAGGAATGTCATTTGTGTTTAGGAAAGTACATGACTCTTTCAACATAACAGTCTCAGAAGATAAGTAGAGATGTATTTGGTTTGAAATGGCCTGGGTGTTCTCTCAAATTTTCATCTCTTTGTTCAGTTTTACAGTTACTTTTTTGTGTTTTTTGACCTTAGTGTCTTCGCTTTTGTATATTTTTGTTGTGCTTCTCATATTTGGGAACAAATTGTTCTTTAGGTATGTAATATTCTGAAGCTGCATAAGGTAGCCTACCTTAAATTACTGTGTGGTGTGAATAGTCACAATAAGGGAGATAAACCTTGAATTCTTTCAGGGGAGATCTGAATGGAATCTTTTTTTAACATCTCATCGAACTATAATTAGTATCCCACCAGAAGCCACCTCATGCCTTCTTCCTAGTCATTCATTGTCTCCCCTTTACTGCCAGAGATTAATTTTGATTGATTTTGGCACCTCACATAACCAGAATCATACAGCATATACTGTTGTTCTGCCTTTGCTCTGTATCTGTTTGAGTTTCATCCTTGTTGAGTGTAGTGGAAGTTGGCCCATCTCATTGTATAGTACTAAGTAGGACTTCTCTTCATCTGCATCTTATTTAACAAAGGTTATGTGTGATGAATCTTTGTGGAAGAAATTAAAATATAAAAGTTTTATATTTTATTTACGTCTCCCAAACTTAAGTTCCAGTGACATTTGGGAGTAGTCAGAAGACCTTTTGAGTTAGTAATTCTGGGTGGTTTTTTTTTTTTTTTTTAAAGATTTTATTTATTTATTTGACAGAGAGACAGCGAGAGAGAGAACACAAGCAGGGGGAGTGGGAGAAGGAGAAGCAGGCCTCTCACGGAGCAGGGAGCCCGATGCGGGGCTCGATCCCAGGACCCTGGGATCATGACCTGAGCCGAAGGCAGACGCTTAACGACTGAGCCACCCAGGCGCTCTGGGTGGGTTTTTTTTTTTTTTTTGAGTTAAAGTGATTCTTCAACAAAAACTTAACTAGTGCTACACTCTCTGGTCAGGACGAGAATGACGACGACGATGACTGGAACCCCTGCAAAGCGGCAGGCGTGTGCCTCATGCTCCTGGCCACCTGCTGTGAAGATGACATCGTCCCACACGTCCTCCCCTTCATTAAAGAACACATCAAGAACCCTGACTGGCGGTACCGGGATGCGGCAGTAATGGCTTTTGGCTGTATCTTGGAAGGACCAGAGCCCAATCAGCTCAAACCCCTAGTTATCCAGGTGAAGCTGAGGGAGTTTTGGGGTGGAAAGTGGGATATTTATTGTTTGAACCTTTTCCTTGAAAGTGTGCCCTTATTTTAAAAACAAAACTACATAGTCATCCCAAAAGGTTATTCTGGATTGTTGTTCGCTGTCAGTGAAGGAAGGATAAAATGTATTTCTTGACTTTTTTTTTTTTTTTAACAAAAGTCATGACTTGGAAAAATGTGGAAAAAGCTAAAAAGAAGTCACCTTTAATCCCGCTGCCCAGGGATAAACATTCTTAACTCTTAGTATTTATTTGTGTGGCGTTCTTCTGTGTGCGTATATGTAGGTGGAACAGGATGGAGTTCTTACTGGGAGGTAGTCTTAGAACTTGTTTTTTCTGCTGTATCATAGGTCTTCCTATAATTTTTTAGTGATGGGATGATTCTATCCTTAGGACAAAATGGTACCTATTGTAATGAAAAGTCTTCTGGAAATACTGTGTTTATTTTACTATTATAAGTGATACAAGGGTCCGTTGTAATTGAGTTAAGCACATATGGAACTCAGCCTTTCAGAATGTAGCCAGATGCCATCACAGCTGCATCTAGATGCATCACCTGAGTGATTCAGTAAAAGGCTGGTGGAAGCATTCATACTAGACTTTTAATAACAATCTATGCTGAGAGATCTGGTGAAGAGAAGACTATTTCACTTTTCACTTTAATTTTATTATACTGATGGGTAGGTGACAGATGTGTCTTTTATAAAATGACAAACTATCCTGATGCTGTGGGTTAAAACCCAACCATCAGGGGGCACCTGGCTGGCTCAGTTGGGAGAGTGTGCGATTCTTGTTCTAGGGATCATGAGTTCAAGCCCCACGTTGGGTGTAGAGATTATTTAAATAAAACTTGAAAAAAATCCCAACCATCAGTATTTTCTCTTCATCAACATGAATTTTAATTTTTGTTTTGTTCTGCTAATAACTGCTGTATTTTCAGGCTATGCCCACCCTAATAGAACTAATGAAAGACCCCAGTGTAGTTGTTCGAGATACAACTGCATGGACTGTGGGCCGAATTTGTGAACTGCTCCCTGAAGCTGCCATCAATGATGTCTACTTGACTCCCCTGCTGCAGTGTCTGATCGAGGGCCTCAGTGCTGAGCCCAGAGTGGCTTCCAATGTGTGCTGGGTAAGGTTTTCTTCCTACTGAGATCTGGAGCGGCGCTGAGCCATTTGCAAGGAGGTAGGAGGTGTGGGAGAGAAATGGGTCTCCCTCACTGGAAGGCCTTTTTTGAATAGCATCTCCTTCCTAATTTCTTCAATTAAAATGTGGGGGATGCCAATTGCATGAACCAGTGGGAGCTGTTGACTCATGGTGACTGGTTCCCAAACCATTTAGAATAGTCATGCTAACCCAGTGGGAAAACTATCTGGACCTGGTTTTCTCTCTCAGTTGCTTGGGGACAAGAAATTTTGATTAAGGTAGAGAGTTGCTGCTACAAAAAGTACCATTGCTGAGAAGGGGACAAAAGAGAAGGAAGGTAGGTGGCGCAAGTGCTGAGTCAGTACAGGCTGAAGGTAGTTCATCAGGGCCCTTTGGGGGTATGGGGGAGGAAGTTGAGATAGGAAGGAGTGGGGCTAAAAGCCTTTTTGTAAGTGGAAAAAGAAGTAGTGGGAGGTGTTTGTGGTAGACAAAAGTACTCTGCTGCTGAGAGAGTTTGGGGTGGGACAAACAATATAAATAAATAAACAAATATTTTAATTTTAAGGATGTCTGTAAAGAGATTGTTTGAGATGACCTTGACAGAAAAAGTTGAGGATTCACTAGCATTGATTTATTCTTAGATCGTTTGGAAAGGAACACTGCCCATGGTATGTTAAGGAAAAATGAGGTTATCCTGGGGTAGGGTTCTTTTCAGGACTAATATTAACTCTGTCTGGACTTAAGGCTTTCTCCAGTCTGGCTGAAGCTGCTTATGAAGCTGCAGATGTGGCTGATGATCAGGAAGAACCAGCTACCTATTGCTTATCTTCTTCTTTTGAACTCATAGTTCAGAAGCTCCTGGAGACCACAGACAGGTGACTGATACGACACAGAAATGGGTGGTGTCTTTGCATCCAACTCCTTTTGCCCTGGATGAGGGGCATCTAGCCTAATCATAGGAACGTAGTAATAGGAAACATTAAAAGAATCGTATAGTAGATTATTTAAGTAAGAGAAAGGGGCACCTGGCAGCTCAGTTGTTAGAGCATGCAACTCTTGATCTTGGGGTTCTGAGTTGAAGCCCCACATTGGGCTTAGAGATTACTTTTAAATAAAAACAGAGAGAAGAAAATACATGCTATGTCTGCCTTAGAATGTTCAGGTTACAGGTAAAGTCAGAAGATAGTCTCATATAAAGAGGGATTGATCTGGGGCACCTGGGTGGCTCAGTTGGTTGAGTGGTTGAGTGTCCCAACTCTTGATTTCGGCTCAGGTCATGATCTTGGTTGTGGGATTGAGCCCTGCATGGGACTACACGCTGAGTGTGGAGCCTGCTTCGGTTTCTCTCTCCCCTCCACTTCCCTCTTTTAAAATTTTATTTGTTTATTAGAGAGAGAGAGGAGGAGGGGAGGAGAGGGAGAAGCAGGCTCCCTGCTGAGCAAGGAGCCCAATGTGGGGCTCGACCCCAGGATCACGACCTGAGTGGAAGACAGATGTTAACTGACTGAGCCACCCAGGCGCCCCCCCCCTTAAAAAAAGGAATTGATCTGGAGAGGTCCCTTCATTTTGCAATATCTACAGTTAACAGGAATATTTGATTATCATATAAGGGAAATAAATAGTAGCTCTCATCATGAATTTAGTTGCCATGCCAGGTCATTAATCACTATTTCTGATAATAGATGAAGAACTTGGCATAAAATACAATTGTTTTATAGATGAGTTTTTGAAAATTTTTTAAGGTTTTTTTTAAGTCATTTCTACACCCAGTGTGAGGCTTGAACTCAGCCCCGAGATCAGGAGTCACATGCTCTGCCAACTGAGTCAGCCAGGCACCCCTGAAATGTAGTTTCAGCGGGTTATAAGTCGGGACGACCTTTAATTATTTTGGTTTTATGTGAGCTATACCGAAAGCCATGCTCAAAAGAAACCATGAGGAAGGAGGCTAGGTATAAACTCTTCCATGCTTAACTAGTTCCATCCCTGCTTCTCTGACCAAGATCAGGTATGATAACCATCTCTCACAGAGAAGTGAAGAAAATTGAGCTGTCTTCCTCCTACCTCTGTAGGTGACCTTGTCAGTTGCACACATAGGTCTCAGCATTTTAAACTAGTTTTTTCCGTATAATTTTAGCCCATTTCTGTAAGAGCCATTCTAAAGTGTAACCAGGTCTGGAGACCCCTATAACGAACATAGCCATTGGCTCAGCAGTTGAAACTTTGGTTCCTGGTTGTATTGTGTTGCCACACTCAAACCGTGTTCACAACCATATCGGTTTCTGGATTCCTTATTTTCCATGAGACAAGGTTTACGTTGTAACAACTCTCTTCTTTCTGGGGTAAGACTTTCAGATTGCTGTTGTGTGTTCCTTACAGACCTGATGGACACCAGAACAACCTGAGGAGTTCTGCGTATGAATCTCTGATGGAAATTGTGAAAAATAGTGCCAAGGATTGTTACCCCGCCGTTCAGAAAACTACTCTGGTTATCATGGAACGACTGCAGCAGGTGCTCCAGATGGAGGTGAGGCCGGGCTGGCGCGGCGGGACAGGGCCATGTCCTCTCTAGGTGGTGTTCATGTTTACATGGAGGTGTGTTTTTCTCAGAAAGGTAGAATGCTTATACAAAAACTGTTTTCACTTAAAATTTGCATTGCTCATCCCAGGTTACTTATACTTGTATCAAAACATATACTTATGTAAGTTTTTTGTTTATTTCTCACGTTAACGTCAGTAAAGATTACTTAATGGTTCTGGCAAACCCAGCAAAAACAGAAGCATTGAGGGAGTGTAGAGCTCTTTTAGAAGGGTTTATTCAGAATATGATGGTGTTCTTTTCCTTGCAGTCACATATCCAGAGCACATCCGATAGGATCCAGTTCAATGACCTTCAGTCGTTGCTCTGCGCAACTCTTCAGGTACAATGGCGCATTATTACTTAACCAGTTTTGATGCTGACCAGAAACTCTTCTCGAAAGGCTTTCATCCGTGGTTGATTGGGAGAGTGATTTTCTATTTTCCTTTCTTCTCTCTCTGTAAAAAGAATTTGTCTTTTGCACAGAGTTGGGAAGGAGACTATTGGGTTGGGGGTAGTCCTCCCGGCTGTATGGCGATTTTGTGCTGGCAGCTTCTAGTCTTTGGGTTTTATTCGGTTGTCCCAATGTAGCCCAGTCAGATTTGGTTCCCAGCTGTGGTTCACTCGGCTAAAAATAGAGCCTTGAGTTTCTACCATCATCTTGTGAAACAACAGTTCCTATTGGAAGCTTTATTATAATTCAAATCATTTATTGTACCACTTGCTTAGAGTAGACTTTTTTGAGGGGAGACTGGGAAGATTAAAATCACTCCTCATTCATGACTGGACTCCTGAAGTGACTGAGGTGCTATTCCCTATTTTACCAGAAATAGGAAAACCCTAGAACTTGTCTAAGCCTTAGGTGGGTACTAGGTTTTAGTATTGAGTGATGCTAACTAGGTCATGTTCCCTGTGAACTCCCTTCTCTTTCTTACCCAAACTTAAAAAAGCCCGTCTGCTTTTCTAAAATCTTGATTGTTAAGGTCTTTCCTTAGTCATCAAATACAGGAATGATCTGGTAGCATTAGTTGGAACAAATTAAAGGGTAAGAGGGAGGTTTGAGGAATATTGAATTAGGAGAATTCAGGTTGGCTTTATTTTATCAGAACTACTTCTTGGGGCGCCTGGGTGGCTCAGTCGTTAGGCGTCTGCCTTCGGCTCAGGTCATGATCCCAGGGTTCTGGGATCGATCCCCGCATCAGGCTCCCTGCTTGGTGGGAGGCCTGCTTCTCCCTCTCCCACTCCCCTGCTTGTGTTCCCTCTTTGGCTGTCTCTTTCTCTATCAAATAAATAAAATTTTAAAAAAAAATTTAAAAATTAAAAAAAAAAAGAACAAAAGAACTATTTCTTGATCATCATCAGTAAATAAGGTATCATTGGAAGGATTGCTTCCGACTTTCTGTACCGTGGAAGATCATCTCATGTTTGTTCTGAGTTGGGAAATAGGAGGGATATTAAAATGTGTGTTTTGTTGCAGATGATTTACACCATCAAAGCTTTTGAGCCCAAAAAGTGTGTTTGGACTTTCCAAAAAAAGCCACGGGGCTCAATTGATTTTTTTTAAAAGGTATATATAGTGTTCTCATTGGCGGGTTTGGAATCAACAGATCCTGAACTCTTTTTCATTTCGCAGAACGTTCTCCGAAAAGTGCAACATCAAGATGCTTTGCAGATCTCTGATGTGGTCATGGCCTCCCTGTTAAGGATGTTCCAAAGCACAGCTGGGTCTGGGGGTGTGCAAGAGGATGCCCTAATGGCAGTTAGCACACTGGTGGAAGGTCAGTGAGCCAAAATTGGGCAGGGAATGTCTTTAGGATGCAAGAGTTTCAATAGCCACAGGGAATTTTTGACCACAGAAAGCATAGTCCTGTCTTCTCATTTATTGGGGCATGACTTGAGTGCAAAGTTGGATTGAGTGTAAGTCTAATAAATTTGTGCATAAGTGCCTTGCCACTCTCCTTGAAATGAATGGGGAGCCAGCAGCCGCTGAGATCGGCAGCTTCCTTTTTTCCCCTGAAAGTGTACTCACTTTCTTGATATTTGGCACCTTCCAAGGAGCAAGGAAAGGTTTCCATTTTCTTTCCTGGCACTTGGTACCTCCTAGTTTGGGTTGTAATGCTTTGGACTCTAGGTTGACACATTGTGGTGCTCAGAATAGGATGGAGTGAAACATTGAGAGTTCTAGGAATTAATTAGTTTTCTGGTTGTGTTATATGTCAGACTATATAAAATTGCTTTGAGGAAGCCGTGTCTGCTTAAGACTCTTTGAAGGGCCATTAAAAGTGCATTAAAGAGCACTTAAGAAACCTGGAATGCTGCTTCGGGGTTGGCCTGTATGGTGTATACACTGACCAAGGTTGCTACCTAAGGACCATTCCTGAGGACCAGACCTATTTCTAGCATCAGGAGGTTCACTTTGGCCCCTGGAATGGCTAATTCAGAAAGAAGCCCAGTCTGCTTTCTCTGGCTAGCTTATAAAATAAGTCTTTGACGGATTTGCCCAGGGATGGACCCTGTTTTAAAGCTGGCCACCAGAGAAGATATGTTATAATCAGATGAAGAGGTGGCCAAGAGGCAGTATCGTTAGCTCATCCAATCAAAATTAACCCTTGAAAAAAAACCATTGGTTTGTTGGTTTGTTTTAGCCAAAGTGAAATCCCACTCTGTGGAGATTTGCCATTATCTTCAGGGCATAAGAGTTAGGCCCTTCCAGCACTTAAGGTAAGGAGTTGGCTTGTCTGAGACAACCTCACTGTTTTTGTGATAGAATCAGTAATTAACCCACACTCCACCCAACCAGTTGATTGGAGTGAAGACATTTTGGCAGAGCTGGCGTGGTTATTTTCGCTCACTTCTGTGATATCCTGTGGTGCTAACAGTTTGTTTCTCTACAGTGTTGGGTGGTGAATTCCTAAAGTACATGGAGGCCTTTAAACCCTTTCTGGGCATTGGATTGAAAAATTATGCTGAATACCAGGTAATCTTTGCTTTTCAAAAGAATACATTTGTATCCTCATTTATCCCTGATAACTACCTCATGGTGCAAAGTCCAGGTAGTCTCTGTATTGTCCGCAGGTGTGGAACTAGAAGTAGTCAGTGAAAAAACCAGGATAGTAGATGCCCCAGCATAGCACCCTGAGAGCCGGGCTCTTTCCTTTTCTCTCTTTTTTTTAACCACCGTGCTCTTGCCACCATTATTTCCGATGAATATTGTCATTTCCGTCCTTTGTTAATGATATCTTGGAGAGCATTAGCTCTTTTCCTGCCGTGTGGATTGTTAAAACGAACTAATCTCAGGGCGCCTGGGTGGCTCAGTCAGTTAAGCGTTGGAGTCTTGATCTCAGCTCAGGTCTTGATCTCAGGGTTGTAAGTTCAAGCCCTGCATTGGGTTCAACACTGCGCATGGAGCCTACTTAAAAAAAAAAAAAACCAGGGCGCCTGGGTGGCTCAGTCGTTAAGCGTCTGCCTTCAGCTCAGGTCATGATCCCAGGGTCCTGGGATCGAGTCCCGCATCGGGCTCCCCGCTCCGCGGGAAGCCTGCTTCTCCCTCTCCCACTCCCCCTGCTTGTGTTCCCTCTCTTGCTGTCTCTCTCTCTCTGTTGAAAAATAAATAAAATCTTTAAAAAAAAAAAACCAAACTAATCTCAGAGAGGGAGGATGTTTTTTCTTCAACTCTAGGCTCAAGTGTTAAAGGACCAGTGGCTAAATAAAAATAATGCCTTATCCTGTAGGTGGCCTTTTCTGTTTGGAAGATCATTTTCTTAATTCATTACAGGTTTGTTTGGCAGCTGTGGGCTTAGTGGGAGATTTATGCCGTGCTCTGCAGTCCAACATCTTACCTTTCTGTGATGAGGTGATGCAGCTCCTACTGGAGAACCTGGGGGTGAGTGTCTGCACGCACAGTCTAATTTGCTAGTGTTTGAAGAAGTCTGGAAAGATGCTTAAAAATTAAGTGAGGGAGCTGTCAGTTGCCAGAATGTTGGCTGTAGGCTCATGAAGAAGGGAATTGTTCATTTTCACAAGATGATTCTATAAGGTCATAAAGTTAATTAAAGGAAGGCGTGCTCAATACATGAAACGGGGGGCAGGAAAGCCAGTAAAGTGTATGTGTAATCCCTCTGTCCAGAGAGAGCCACTATTAATTTTTGTGTATGCCCTTAAGGTCTGTACAAAGCGTATTAGTAACCGTTCATTATAAATAACGTTTCTTTAATTTTTGGACAGAATATTTTGGCTTTTATTAATTTGCTCTTCTCCCTCTTTTTTTTTTTTCCTGGTCAGAATGAAAATGTCCACAGGTCTGTGAAGCCACAGATTCTGTCAGTGTTTGGTGATATTGCCCTTGCTATCGGTGGAGAGTTTAAAAAATACCTAGAGGTTGTCTTGAATACTCTTCAGCAGGCCTCCCAAGCCCAGGTGGACAAGGTAAGCTTCAAGCTGTCTTAAGTCCAGCCCTGATTGGATGAGTGGGACTTCTGACAATCATACAACTAAAGGCTCTTGGTGTGATGGAGATTCTGTTTGTCTCTTACAGTCAGACTATGACATGGTGGATTATCTGAATGAGCTACGAGAAGGCTGCTTGGAGGCCTATACCGGAATTGTCCAGGGATTGAAGGGAGACCAGGAGAACGTGCACCGTTGAGTATAAAACCCAGTGGACTTAGTCCAGAGTTCATGTAGCCAGATGGGCTGTGTCTTTGGTTCTGTAGCTTGTGATCTCTAGCACCTATTGCTTAAAGGAAGTGGAGAAGGAACAGTACCTTCATGAAGAGAGTAGCTTTGGAAGAAGATACAGTCTTTCCCATTCCCCACCCCCCGCTTTGTCTTGAACATCGTAAGGGATGGGATCCAGCAAGACTGTTGGTGCCAGTCATATCTGCACCAGCCCTGAGCGGCAGTTGTTGAGCACATACGCACCACACATAATACACCTCCGGTGCAGTTGAATTAAAGGATTGGGAAATCACATTTTCTCTTTCACCTGATGTTTCTATTATTGGTTTGGGAAATATTTGTCTTTCACCTCTTTTGATATCATGGGCTTAGGGGGAAGGTTCCATTTGTTTCTTCTCTATGATTTCTGCTTGTAATAAAAGGAATGAATATCTGCCTCTTCTGTTGGTGTAAAGAATGACCTCTTAATTTGAGGAAGAATAGTCCAGTATAACTAAATGCAACTAATTCTCCAGCCTGAAACACCTGCCTGATGGGGGGGTAGTGTATTTGGAAATTTTGAAATGGGTGGTCCTGCCAAAGGTGGGACAGCTTCATCAGACCTTCTGTTTCTGTTATAGCGGATGTCATGCTGGTACAACCCAGAGTAGAATTTATTCTGTCTTTCATTGACCACATTGCTGGAGATGAGGATCATACAGACGGAGTAGTAGCTTGTGCTGCTGGACTGATAGGGTAGGTTAAATCCTGTTTCCAACAGCTGAATAGAATTTCTCTTGGAAAATGAGAAGACCTGTGGTAAAGAACTTTGAGGGTAGCCTGGATGGTAATTACCCACTTCTTTGATGCAGATATTTCTTTAATAGAACCCAAGGTGTCCTGTTTAGAGTTCTCACAGATGATCATTCATTCCAGAACTTAGCTCTAGTCTCATTCCAGACCCTCCAAATTTCTAATTTCTCTTTGCTGAACTCTGTGGAGTTCTCAGAGGTACAGACACAGCATCAGATCTGTGTCCATCCTATATTGAGGTCGGTCAACAGATTGCCTCTGTTTAGGCTCTATGGAAAGTTTGAGGCATCATTAGAAGAAAGAACCATGAATTAGTTGTGGAACTCAGAGTAAGTCATCCTGACTCTTTCGACCTCAGTTTTTACATCTCTTTAGGGAAGGTGCTGAACTTATCCCTAAAATTTCTTTCAGCTTTAAAAAGTAGGTGAATTCTAAGAGACCCACAACTAACTTAGCACTCACTGGCTGAAAACAGGATAGCGGGATGAGGTTGGGAGCTCATTCTCAGGTGTGTTTATTTTGCACAGGGACTTGTGTACAGCATTTGGGAAGGATGTACTGAAATTAGTAGAAGCTAGGCCAATGATCCATGAACTGTTAACGGAAGGACGGAGATCGAAGACTAACAAAGCAAAAACCCTTGCTACATGGGCAACAAAAGAACTGAGGAAACTGAAGAACCAAGCTTGGTAAGAGCTTGTCTCCACTGCCCTCTTTCTTGGGGAGAAGGCACAGTTTTTTCAGACTGTTCCGACAAGGGCTGCCCTTCTCTTGGTATCTTGTTTTGTACCCTTTCCCATATAAATGCTTTTGAGCCAAGCCTTTGTTCCTCAGGATTGTACTGGTGGAAGGGTCGGGCATCCTCAATCTTTCCTTGAGCGAAATGTTTGATTACTTGTGGTGATGAAGAACAGAACTTATGTAACTAGAATTCAGTGAAGTCCCCAAATGATTTTTGGGCCCTAATAAAGTTACCGGTAATGGCATTTTCCCAGAATTCTCTTTTCTACTTTCTATTCCCTTCCTCCTGCTCTTTACTTTTTTTTACTGCAGTGCTTTTAGACATTGTGTGGCTCTACAGAAGACAGCCACAGTCAAGGGTTGTCTGACCCCTGCTTTCAAATGTAGTTTTAATTTATTTTCCTCTCACATGCTCATCATCTTACTCCAAAGAGCTCAGTAAAACTGGCTCTTTTGAGATTTATCTTTGTAGTGTCCCTGCCACCCTCTAATGTAGGTGCTAATGAGAAAAGGCAGTTGGCGCATAGGAAAACAAGAAAAATAATCCTCGAAAAGTTGAGATTCATTTCGGGTTTATGAGCACTTAATTGTGGGAATCAGAGAGGCGTTTGGCTCTCCTGGCTATCTGTGTTCTCAAAGTTGACCTGTTTTCCATCTGTGTTTTTAGATCTGTTACCATTGGGATGATAACCTGAGACCCCCACTGGAAATCTCCAATCTTGTGAAAAACCCGGAAGTGAGGAGTGTGCACGGATGCTGAATGTTTGGGAATGAGAGGATGAGTGAGTGAGGCTTGAAAACACACCACACTGAACATCCTGCCGCAGCCACTGGCCGCCGACAGCAGCGCTGTTAGTGAGCTAAGTAAGCACTGGCTTCGTAGAAAACCGTAACGTCGGCCATCTCGGAAAAGAGAAAAACGATGGATTTACTTGCTTAGAAAAAAAAAAGAAAGTTATCTCTTCCCAGGAGAGGCTAGAACTAGCTTTTCTGTCTTTTGGCCGGTGCCAAGTGGAGTGTACTGGTTTGGGAGAGGAGGAGGGACTGGGTTCAGCTGTGGTGCTTTGTTGTAAAAGGCAGCCTGGCCTTTGCTACTGATAAGAAAGATGGAGCCTGGGTCTCAAGCCCACCTTTGGTGTACCTTTGCCACACGGTACTGTTTGCGTGTTGGCTAAAAGGAGGGTGAGGGATTCTTTACAGTCTGAGAATGAGTGTGTGTGAGTGAGGCGGTATCCACATTCTCAACTTCAAGTCATTGCAGTTTCTTTTTCCCAGAAAAAAGGGGTTAGATGTTGCATTTCATAAAACTAACCGAAGTTCTGTCTACTGATGCAGCACAAGAGATGTGTAAAAAAAAAAAAAAAAAAAAAAAAAAAAAGGAAAGACGCTCTTTAGGTTTTGTTTTTTGTTTTCTTTTTTTGTTTTGTTTTTAATTATCTTCTAGGGAAAACACTGACGAATGGTCAGAGCTCCCGTATCCTGATCTTTTCATCAAGGCGCCTTTCCTAAATAATATGGTTCAACTGTGAATGTAGAAGTGGGGGGGAGGGGGGAGAAAAAGAAAACTCTGGAGTTAGAGGATCTAGAACAAATTCAGTTGTTACAAATAAAGGACGCAAACTTCAAAAACAAAAGAAAGCCACAACCCAAACAAACCAAAATTTTAGATGCTCAGAATTGGCAGCACAAAAGAAAAGTTCTCTCCTGATATGTATCGTGGTAGTCTGAACACCCCCAGAAAATTGTGCCAAAGAGTTTAGAAAACAAATACACAATAAAAGTACACACATGCACACACACATGCACACACAGCAAACTTCAGGTAACTATTTTGGATTGCAAACGAGGATAAATTTAATGTTGAAACAATCTGATAAAATAACCATTTGGAAACTGCTTGGCCTTCTGTTCTCTTTTATTTGATTGACTACAATGCGGTATTGGTCTCTTGCTGCACTTCAAAACCAACTAACCAACAAAACGCAAAAAACAAAAGTATATATATATATATATATATATACACTAGAACTCTTGTGATGAAAATGGCACTTGGAAAGGGTTTTATTTTTCCACTGAAGGTGAAGATTAATGAAATGGTGTCAAACATTCCCCTGGTCACTCACACTAATATTTTTTTGGAAGTGTGATGTGTTATGAGAACCATAAATCAGACTAAGTTATTTTCCCTTTTACAAGGGAACAGGGCACCCTGAATTTTGGTTTTAGAATCTTTCAGCAATAAGGAGGGATGTCGGTGAGCTTTGATCCCCTTTTGGTTTTGCAGTTATTAGGAGCTTTTGCTGGCATTTTGAATATGCTGCTTTCAAAAACCCCAAGGAAGATTTTTAATTGCTTCCTGGTATTTGGAGGATTAAAACACAAGACCTTAAATTCCCACTTTCCATTTCCATTCTAGCAAAAAATGTGGGCTTACGTTTTTTCTCTTTGCCATTTTCCTTTCCCTGTCTAAGCCTTCCATTCATAAGTGGGATTGGCGCAGTTTTGCTCATCCATATGGCAGCATCTCTAATAGCTCTTGTACAGGGTATCAGATATTGTGCCTTTTGGTGCCAGGTTCAAAGTCAAGTGCCGATCTATGAACCAGTGTACAAAAAAAAAAAAAAGGTGTTTGAAGGAAAGACTCCATGTGAATTAAGAGTTTGCACCACCTCCTAAGCCCTACTAAGAAGAGACCTGACCTTCTAATGCCTTGTTTAAATTCTAGTTGTTTCTTGAAGGAGAGGATGATACACTAACCATTCCTGATAGGTAGGGGTTGGTCAGGGTTTAGGGAGGGTGCAGGAATATTGGGGAGAAAAAAAATCTGATCATTCCTCAGTGCTACCCGTTTCTGTCCTGTGTGGGCTGCTTAGCTAGACAGCAGGAGAATAAAGTACACCAAGAACCATAATGGAAACAAAACCTTCCATGTGTTTTGTCGTGTTTTGTTCCAGGGAAGCAGTTGACAAGTGCTATTACTAATGCTTTCTCCCAGATCCATTCAGTGATGGAGGAGGAAAGTGGGCTGGTTGGACTGTGGTCTTGGTGCCTTGCAGGCGTTCTACACTGGTTATGCATTTAATTCTCTCTCCCAGTTACCTTTGGCTAGTGGGCTTTCCAGAGTCTGGGTATTTGTCCTTAATTGTACCACCCAAGGCAACTGGATGCAAAATGCATTCTGTCCACTCACTGTCTGGGCCTTCCCCACCCTAGTCTTGGCACATTCCTTCAAGAACGTAGTTACCGTCCGCTTGGGAAGAGGTCAGTGCAGATGCGAGGAAAAGGGGCATCGGACTAGGCTTTGGTCTACCACAAGTGGCAGCTGCCTGTATCAATTACAAGTACACTTCGTGATTTCGCTTTTCATTTTCCCAGTTCCCGTCAGCTCCCCTCCGTTGAAATGTTGAAATTTTGATTGTCAGAGGCAACTGTAATATTGCCTTAGGGACTTGTGGAGAAAGGGAGGGGGATTGCTCAGTGTAGTGTTTTCACTTTCAGAACCAAGTAATCCAGTCACTCTGATATTTAAGTGTGTTGGTCCGACTTTTAAGAGAAATCTCAACTCCATCAGCTTTTGATAGCATCTTGGTTTCGAAACAACTTCAGTCTGTAATTGGCATTCAGAATGCCCTTGGCATGCCAGTCTGTGATGGCATTAAAGACCTGTTAAAACACTTGAGCCCAACTTTATTAACCAAAACTGATACCACCACCTTTATCTTCTAAATAAAGTCCGCTTTATTTTTATTTTCAACATTTTGCCGCTTCATTTTTGGTTCCACATGGTGTCACCTTGGAGGTGAAATGAATGGTTTGAAAGGAGCTGGAGTGTGCGGTGCTGGTGTGCATGTGCGCTGGGAAAGGAAGGAGGACACGTCGGTCTGGAAAACGGACTCCACACGGTGTGACGGGAAGTGAATGAGCGGCTGGCCTCCAGTGCGGTCGTGTGCAAGCTGTGGGGAGGAGGCTTCTGCTCCGAGTGCTTCTGGAACTGCTGGAGATCGTCTTCTGTCTTGTGCATAGTTTTCAGGCTAATCTGGTTTGTTTAATGGCTCATCCAAGATTGGCTTTTTACGTAGCTTGCAGTGTGTATTTAATTTCTACTTCGGCTTTTTTTCGCCCAGAAATTTGTAGCAGAGAGAACACTAACTTGGGATTTAAGAACTAGGTTCATTCCTTCACTCTGTTGCTTATTAGCCTAGTGGCGCCTGCAGGCTTTCTGGAAATAATGCACTTTCTTAGTTTATGTTGGGCAAGTACAATGAGGGCTGACCATAATTTTCTTCCCTTAGCCTCCACGTGGCCTTTCACTTTTCTGATTGCACCCCCGTCAGAAATTTTTGATCATGCATACCCCCCTGTGTTTATAAATTATAAACCTGTACTACTGTACCCATATATTGTGTAACATAAGACACAAAAATAGATATTAAAAGGCGGTTATATGAAAAATAAATACAAATAGAAGTTCTAATATTTTATTTCTGTGCCCAATTTTGGAGATGACTGGGTTATACAGGGTAACTTGTAATTCTTCTAAGACTGCATTAAATCCTGAGTGATGGCAGTGGGCCAAGAACGTTTCTCCACTGAAGGTAACCGAGAGGAAAGAAGGCTATCAGTTCATTACGCAGGGAGGGGCTGCTGCTCCCAGGAACTTTTTTTATCCTTTTCAATAGTTCTCCGAGTAACTCCCTATTCCCACATACCCCCTCCCCAACAAACACTCAAAAAGAACACACACTATGAGGTTGCAGTTCCCACGTGGCCGCATCAAGGGTTCCAGCTCGACTTGCCGGAAGTGAGAAACACTAAACACTGAAAAAATGTTCTATGTATTATCACTTGTCACAGCAACCTTAATCCCTGTTCCTGTTTTATTGATGAGAGAGGAAGCGCACACAGACTGATTTGTCAGGCCAAGGTCACATGGAGCTCGATTTCAAACTCAGGTCTGTCAGATACCAGAACCCAAGCTTTTCTCACACTTGCTTTAGATGCTGTCAGCATCTTAGGGACACAAAAGAAGGGTCTGTGCTGTCTGTATTTATGATGCGCCATCCATCTCCTTCATAGCACTATCTAAAAGTGTATTTTAAATTATTATTTATTGCCAGTTTTCCCAACTAACGTAAGCACCCTGATGCAGTGACCTCGGCTGGCTGTCATACCACTGTATCCCCAGTCTAGAGCAGTGCCTACCATATAGTAGACCTTCAATAGATATTTGTCAGTACAGTTCGGGGTTTCTGGAATAACATCACTTTGCCTTTGAAAGGCAGAGTATCCAGAAGCCTGGGAATGGCAGGGCCTCAGGAGATCTGGGTTCCTAGCTCTTCCCCCTCATTTGCTGGACGACTTCCGGCCAGCCTCTTAGCCTTGGGTTAATTGGAAGAATGGGAACAGGATTAGTCCAGGGTTCGTCGTTATGTTGGTGGTTATTTCATGCACTGACCCAATGCCAGGCTTGTAATCAAGCATCTTACGTAGAGGGGTGAAAGTAATCCTCTTCAGCACTAAAAAAGGTACCATTTTAGTCCCATTTTACAGGTGGAGAAACAAGCACAGGGGCTGAGAACCTTGCCGAAAGTCATGCGGCCATCAAGCAGTGCTGATTCCACTTGTCCCACTGGGCTGTTGCAGACCAGGTGGGGTGGGGGTTAGAGGATGAGCACATGAGCCTCGGTTCCCCGCAAGCTTACCCTGTGCGAGCAAGGAGAGCCCGGGATGAAGCGCTCTTGGAATTAAACAGCAAAGCCATTTTGCCTTAGTTCAATAATGAGATCCACTGTACACCTTTCGACGACAGTCAAACTCTTTAATTTAGGTGTCGGGGGGAACATTTTTCCCTAAGGTCAACTTTCCTCCCACTTGGAGTTTGAACCATCTCCTTGCACTCACATGTCTTCCCACTGAGCTAGAAGCTTTTTGGGAACCGGGGCTGGGGGAGGGGCCCCGAAAGGCCACAGGGCTGCTGAGTAAGCTCCACATCCAAACTACCCCAGCTGATCCTGGGCAGCACAGCCTGAGTGGCTCCCTCTCCCAGGTGCTCCGAGGCCAGAAGTTCCTCAGCTGAGCTCTCCTCAGGGTGAAATGTCCCTTGCGTGAAAGGGAAGTACATCTCAGCTTTGGCACCTGGCCTGCACTCTGAGTGCAGGGGGCAGCCTGTCACCATCCAGGAGGGAGAGAGAATTAAAAAATGACTCCGGGTGAATAAGGTCTCTAGAGTGGTGCCTGTTATTTTCTGAGCACTGCCGTTCAAAATATTGTCCAGCCTTTTGAGTCTGACCTTGGGCAAAGTCTTCCCCCTTTCCTGATCCTCAGGTTCATCATGTGTAAGATAGAGATCCCAGTGGAAGAGAACCCATACAAAGTTCTCAGCACAGTGCTTCATCAGGCACTCATTACATTAATTGATCGACAACTATTACTGAGTACGTGCCAGGCACTGTTCAAGGTGCTGGGGATACAGCAGTGAATGAAGCAAATAAACTCTCCTTCTGATGGAGCGCACAGGCTAATAAATAATAAGAAATAGTATTCAAAACTCAATGTAATCGTTTTTAAAAATCCTGAAAAAGAAATCTGGGAAACAGCAGAAATGAACATGGTCATGGACAATATGAAGCACAACTAGTTATTTAAAACAAAACAAAAACTATTTCCACCCAAGCCTTGCTCATTTGATTAGAGGATGTGTATGACCTCCACAGGAACTTGGGAATTTGGTGAAGAAAGGAGTCTTTCCATCACTGCCCAAACCTCTGATGTGATGGAAGACCAGCAGCTGCAGAGGAGGAGGCCCAGGACAGTTCCGCAGCAAACCCTAAATTTTCTAAGGTTTAGAACCAGAGGGCTAAGGTGGCACCCGGATCCTGCATTGTCACATGTGTCTAATCAATTTTCCTGCCTGCCTGCTTCTGTTTGAGTCATCTGGGTTTTATTTTGATTCAGTCTCTTTGCCAGCCACTAATACCACCTCCTCCTACTCTTTTCAGGCAAGGTTGGGACAGAAACGACCAAGTTTTTCTCCAGAGCAAGAGTCCTGGGAGTGGGAGACAGGCTCTCCCTGACAGTTTCCAAGGAGGAAATAGGCAAGGGCAACTTGGTCCTGCTTTTGCGGTCCTCTCCTACTGGGCCTGTGGGTGCCATTTAGAGATATTTCACCATTTGGGCCTGACCAGCTGCCCAACACACTCCCTTCTTCCCTCCACCTCACTTCCCCCATCACCAAAGGTTTTTACCTTTTACCCTTTCCTGTCTCTGCTATGATGAGCCCTGGGTGCTTAGAAGGAATTCAAACCAATCTCTAGCTTTCTCAGATGAAGAAACAGGCCTGGAGAGGTGAGCTAACTAATCCAAAGTCACACTGCTTCATTCATTTATTCATTCAACCAAGAGCACTCCTTCTTACCCTTAAAGATTTAGCTTAACAGCCCAAGTGTCCATCAATAGATGAATGGATAAAGATACACAGACACACACACACACACGAATATTATTCAACCATAAAAAAAGAATAAATTTTGCCATTTGCAACAACATGGATGGATCTAAAGAGCATAATGCTAAGTAAAATATAAGCCAGTCAGAGAAACACAAATACTGTGTGATTTCACTCATATTGGAATTAAGAAACAAATGAGCGAAGGAAAAAAAACAAAAGGGAGAGAAAGAGACAAACCAAAAAAACCAGACTCCTGGGGCACCTGGCTGGCTCAGTCTGTGGAGCGTGGGACTCTATCTCGGGGTCATGAGTTTGAGCCCCCTGTTGGGTGTGGAGATTCCTTTAAAATAAAATGTTAAAAAAAATGAGCAGCAGTAAATTCTTCACTTAATCTATAGTGAGCAGGTACCATCAGGGCATTGGGGATATGAAGATGGATAGGATACAGTCCCTGCTCTCACAACTGTTTGGAGCAGCAGAACCAGAAACAGGGAGAATGCAATGAGATCAGGTCCAGAGTGGGGGGGGGGTGGCATTTTAGGATCACTGAAACCAGGCCTAATCTCTGTTGGGCTTTTGCCACCAACTACCGAGAACCCAGGATAAACCATTTAGCTGTGATTTAGGCCTGTACCCTGAGCAGCCCAACAGCAGTAAGGGTGGACAACTTATTTTGTGGAGTGAGTGCTCAGATGGGTAGCTGGACCCATTACCCTTTCCAGTGAGGGAGGGCTTGCCAGGTTCACAGATCCAGTGGTGGCCAACCCCACACCTTCTAGCCTAGCCTCTGGTCTTTTTTGCCTGGTCTTCTGCTTCAGAAGAGAACTTTGTGCAGCATTAAGGAAAGTAACACCTGGCTACCCCTCGGGATTAGTGTGGTGATGGATGTCCCGGCCCAGCAGCCTTCACATACCTAGAGGACAGGTGGATTGTCCCATTTGGCTCTGAGAAAGCTTGTACCTGAGAGCAAGTGGCTGACCTGCCTTCCTATTCTAGACTATAAAAGGAACCCAGCAGGAGGAGGAGGAAGGAAGCCAGTTAAGAATCCCCTTCTTTGTAGAGAAAGAGTCCACAGCCCCTGCTGGCTCTCCCAAGAGGCCAAGCTCACCCCTAAATCCAATCTCCTCCCTACAGTGGGGCAAGAGCAAAGCAGATCCTGTGGCTGCAGCGGCTTCTTAAAGCTCACAAGGATGAAGCCTTTTCTTTCCTCCTCTCCCCTTTCTAGATTCATCCCTCCTCCCTCCAGGGGCCAGAAAAGTAGGCTCTGGTTTCCAGCAGCCTGAACCTTCCCTCCGGATGGGAGGCTTCACAGCTAAATGCTGAGCCTACCAAAAGCCTATACCCTGCTTCCAGGGCCAGCCTGTCAGGAGTTAGCCAGAGTCCTTCAGAGTTTCCCCTGGTCATTCACTACCTGCAGCCAGGCTGACCATGCCTCTGCCCACGTTTTTTAATCCATCAAGGAATAATAGAAATGACTCATTGACACCTCCTGAGGATTCACAGAGCACCTTTAGTTCTGATTCCCCCTTCTTCCTCCTATGGTTGCCTGGGCTGGGAATTATTTCCAACTCTATTCAGAGAGGTTAAGTAACTTGCCCAAGGTCACACAGTGGGAAAATGACAAAACAAAACAAAAACAAAAACAACTTGTGTCTTCTGCCCAGCAGTCTGGCAGGTGCTCAAATAATCTTTGTGGAAGGGCGAAAGGTGCTGTTTCTTCACCTCACTGGCCTGGGGGGTGGTGAGGGGATTGTGTTGCGGGGAGGAAAGAGGTTTCCCTTCTACATGAACCTTTGACCTCCTTAGTTCACTCTCACTTCCGAAGAAGTTAACAAATTTAGCTCTAATCTCTCCGACTAGACCCTATGGTCAGTATCTTTTATCAGAGCAAGGCTCCCATCCCCAAGAGCAATGAAGAGTAAGTCTAATATTTTCCTTCTCAAGAGGACAAAGCCCAAAACCAAAGCCCAAATCCAAATAAATAGCTTCCCTTTCCCCCCAAACATACAGCCACCAAGCAAAGCCCAAAGCGCCACCGGAGTCCTTGCGCGGCCGCAGGCGCCCCCGACACACGCCACGCCACGCCACACTGCGTTAGGGAGGCGTCGAGGAGGGGGCGCGGAGCGCGGGCCGGGCGCGGCGGGGAGCCGGGGCGGCGGGGGGGGGGCGCCGGGCGCGCTGCCAGGCCAAACCGCACCGGGGGGGTGGCTGGCCGCCCCTCGCCACGTGGTGGTGGCAGCGGCGGGGTCCCGGGCGCCTTCCCAGCTGGAGAAACCCGGAGCAGCCGGGGAGGAGGAGGAGGCAGCGGCGGCGGCGGCGGAGGAGGAGCGGGGCGGGCGGGAGGGAGGGGGGCTGGGGGGAGGGGTGGGGGGTGGGGAGAGACCCGGCGGCGGCGACAGGGCGAGAGCGGAGCGCGGTGCCAGGGGGGTGGGGGCACCGGTGCCCGTCTGGGGAGGGAGCAGGCGGAGGGGGTAAGCTGCGATTACAAGCAGGAACCGGCAGCAGCTGTGAGTCCCCGGCGGGGCTGGGGCGGGGGGAGGGGAGCGGCGCCCGGGGGCCGGCCCCCCCCCCCGGGGTCGCAGGGTGGGCCGGAGGAGGGGGCGGGAGGTGGGGCGGGGGGAGGGTCCGGCGCCGGCCGCCCGCGTTCAGCGCTCCCCCCTTCCCCCTCCGCCGCCGCTCCTCAGGCCGCACCGCCTCGGGAGCCCCCTTCCCCGGTCCGGGGACGGCCGACTCGGGGCCCGGGGCTTGGCCAGCGGTGGGGGAGGGGGCTGCGTGGTCTCGGCCCCCGAGAGGGGAGGGGCGACAATTTCTGTCGGCCGAGCTAAAGGGGTTTAAAGGGCGGCTCTTAAAGGGGCCGCAGTAGGGGCCCGGGGACGAGGAGGCACCCCCCCTCCCAATCCGCCCTCCGCGGCTCTCACTGGGGGCCGCCGGGCCGGGGCGGGGCGGGGGGAGAATGCGGAGAAAGGGAGCGTCTGTCGGGGCGGCCCAGGGGACAGAGCCCCCACCGGCGGGGCTGGGCCCGAGCTGGCAGGCTGGGGGGGCTGGGGGGTGTGTGTGGAGAGCGCTGGCGGGCGGAGTTGAGGGGGGAGGGGATGCGCCTGGAGAGGAAGGGGTTAAAGGTGGGGCCAGCCCTACAAACACGCGCACACACTCCTTACTCAGACCCGGTCACACGCGTTTCCCTGGCACTTAATGGGGGGTGGGGGGGTGTTGGGGCCCGGGCCTGAGCCCTCTCCAGGCTCCTGCCGCCCGACTTTGGGAGGTCGCGGACCCCACCGTCTCAACTCACACCTCACGCCGTGCCCCCTCTCCTACGCGCACACATGCTCCGGGGCGCGCGCGCACACACACCTCGGACATTCCCATAGTGCCTCACGTGACACACGGCCCCGAACGTGCTACCCTTCACACACGCTCACGCACGCGTGCACACACGCGCACACACAAACACGGCCTCTCGGCGCCTTCCCAACTCCATCCCCGACCCCCAGCCGCAGCCCTGCAAAGGCACTCATTGACTGTGACACACCTACACCCATTCACAGACACACACACTCCCCCCACACATGCCAACCACAGACACACATTCATAAACAGGGCCCGGAGAAGTACACACGCACCCCGTCGCCTACTCTTTCGGAGCCCTGAGTCATTCCTGCCCCCTCCCAGGGCTCCCCATTTCCCTGTGTGAGCGCACATTGGCGGGCTAGGGAATTCTTTGGCGGTCCCTTCCCAGGACCCCCCCCCCCACTCTGCACTGTGTGTTCCCTGTGACACTCTGGGAGGACTTCCTGTGGGTCCCAGGTCAGGGGCGGGGAGGGTCTGGAGGGTTGCCACAGCGCTGGTGTGAGTGGGGGAGGTACTTCCTTTTCCTGAACTCCGGGATCCTGCAGGAAGAAGCTGGGAAGTTGGGCGGGGGCCCCACAGAGGACGTCCTGACAGTGGTGGGGCTGACTCTCCCAGACGAACTGGGCCTTAGGGAGGAGCCGGGGTGCAGCGGCCTGGGATGAGGAGCTTGGCAGAGAGGTACTTGGGGAAGCGAGGCCTGGGGGTGAAGAGGGTTTGAGGAGTGTCAAGGCAGCCCCGGCTGGGCCCTGACTTGGGAAGGCAGTCCTCTCTTGTCCACAGGTCTCCCTGAGTTCTGGAAGGAACCCTTCCCTGCTGCTGGCCTGGCTTACTTGTCCCTACTTGTCTTCCCCCCTCCCTCCAAGTCTTCAGCTGGTTCTAGCCCCTTCCCCCAAAGGCAGCAGAGAAGAGAAGACAGGGCTTATTACTCCCGGGGGGGGGGGAGACGGGGGTGGGAGCTTCCAAGCTGCCTCTTGGCTGGCCACAGTGTTCCTCGGGCCAGATTGAGGGGTATCAGGGACAGCCTCCAGGCTTCCCTCTCCACCATTGCTCCTGCTCTCCCAGGAGGCCCAGTGGGGGCCGAGGCCCGGGCCCTTGCCATGGAGTCCATGTTTGAAGATGACATCAGCATCCTGACCCAGGAGGCACTGGGGCCCAGTGAGGTGTGGCTGGATGCCCCAGGAGACCCCTTGCTGGGGGGGGACATGTGCTCCGCCTCCCACTTTGCCCTCATCACAGCCTATGGGGACATCAAAGAGCGCCTGGGAGGTCTGGAGAGGGAGAATGCCACCCTCCGCCGCCGTCTCAAAGTCTATGAGATCAAGGTCAGGACTTGGAAAAGATGGGGCTTTGGCTGTGTGTATGTTATGGTGGGGGTTCCCGAGGGGCAGGAACTGGGGATCCCAGGAATCCCAAAGAGGGATCAGGATCCACACTCTTGGGAACTTGAGGGTCTCCCACGAGGGATGTGGCTGCTCTGGATGGGAAGGGTCAGGAAGGGATCCTATGGGCCAAAGGGGTGGGATCTTGGATCTAAACAAGATCTGGTTGGTGGGAGATGCCTCCAGGTCCTGTGGTTCCCACTTGAGCAGGGGAGGGAGGGACCCAGACTTCGAGGCAGGTTGTGGGGTGGAGGCCTAAGCGAGGCTGAAGCCTGGGCAGGGAGTTGGGCACCAGCTCTCCTGAGGGCCTGCCTGCCCACAGTACCCACTGATCAATGACTTTGGAGAGGAGCACGGCTTCTCTCTGTATGAAATCAAGGATGGCTCCCTGCTGGAGATGGAGAAGGTCAGCCTACAGCAACAGCTTAACCAGTTCCAGCATGAGGTGAGCCCCTCGCTGCCCTCCCAGCCCAGGCTCCCTGAGCTCCTTGCTCCAGTGTATTTCTAACCCCTCCCGCCCCTGACTCCCAGGCTCTGTCTCCTTCATCAGAGATGGCTGCAGTCTTCCCTAGAATGGGCTGCCGTCTCGCCCACCCCTCCACTGGGTGCTGGATGTGTGGGGGGGGAGGAACGGGGAGCTGCTCGGCCCCCACGTCAAGTATGGACCTGACTGTGGCGTGCCCTCCATTCCCTCCGGGCCCCATCCAGTTGCAGAAGAATAAGGAGCAGGAAGAACAGCTTGGGGAGATGATCCAGGCTTATGAGAAACTTTGCGTGGAGAAGAGCGACCTGGAGACAGAGCTGGGGGAGATGGTGAGGCCCAGAGAGCCGGGGGTGCTTGAGGGTGTGACCCTTGTGGTGTGATGGTGTGTGACCCCACGTGTGTGTGTCTGTGGTGTGGACCCCAGTGGGTTCCTGTGCGTCTTTGAGTGCCCGTCGCCCTCGTGAGTGGGGCTGAGTATGTCATACCGGTTGTGAGTGACTCCTGGCACATCCTGGCCATTCGGTGACCCTGCAGACGCCGTGTCTCTGTGCGCGTGTTTGGGTCTTGTGCTGGGTCGACTCTGTGCCTCTGGCCCTGTGCCTGGAAGGCTGTGTGGGTGAGGGCAGAGGGAATCGGGTCTCTGGGACTGCTGGGATGTGTCCGGCATGCTGTGATTCTGGGTAGGGGCATGGCCACGCGTGTGTGCAGGGGGGCGGGCGTCAGAGTCAGGAGACATGGTCTCAGCCTGCTCCTACCTGTGACCGGGGTCACGTCACTTAGCTCTGTCCCTCCTCTGAAGAGGGCACTCGATGACCACAGTGCTGCATTGTTGTGGGGCATTTGTGTAAAAATGCTTTGCCTTAATCATCATAAACACTTACACGGCCCATATTGTGTGCCGGGCACTGCTGTGATCTCTTTAGATACATTTACTGATTTTAGTCCTTCGAACAACTCCACGAGGTAAGTGTGGCTGTCCCCATGTTGTAGATGAGATGGGTGAAGCCCAGAGTGGTTGTCCCACGGGCAAATAGAAATCGTTACGCTTCTGATGGGGTGGCTGTGTCTGGATGGAGGGGGCCGTGTGGTCCCATGTGTTCATGACAGGGAAGAGGCATTAACACTGACCTTGCAAGGGGCAACAGGTAGAAGCGTCTGCACTGCAGGTGCTGGGAGACCTCACACTCCTGGCCCCTGAGAGTGCAGCCGGGATGTGTGACTTGGGGTCTCGGCTCCGTGTAGGGGGGATGGCCTCCCAGACGTGTGGGAGTCCTGGGCCTGGGGGGCCCTCAGGGGTTCCCTGGTCCTGTTCAGACCCTACCCCGTGGTCTGTCCCGGCAGCGGGCCCTGGTGGAGACCCACCTGCGGCAGATCTGTGGCCTGGAACAGCAACTGCAGCAGCAGCAAGGCCTCCAGGACGCCGCCTTCTCCAGCCCCAGCCCCCCGCCCACTCCTGCCCCACCGTGTGCTGATCTGGACCTGCACTACTTGGCACTGAGAGGGGGATCTGGCCTGAGTCACGGTGAGATCTCCCTGACCCCCGATGTCCCTAGCCTGAAGTCCCCAAGCCTAACCCCCGTTTCAGCATCATTGGATACCTCTCCCTTCTGGGATTGAGAGTCAACACCCCATTATAATGTCTTAAATTTCTCCCATAGTTACACTATCCCTCTTTACCACCTGTTCCCTTACCCAGTTTCTCCCACCGACACCCCCTCCCCTTGCCACCCTCCCCCCCCCCCCCCCCCCCCCCCCCCCCCCCCGCTACCCCTGCCATGCAGTTCCCGTGTGTGTCAGCAGAGGGCACCTCCATTCAGAGTCCCTATGCCTGTTCTAGGTGGTGATTAGCAGAGGCCAGAGGATGCTTGGAGATTTGAATGTGGCCCGGGAAGCCCTCCATGAGGCCCTCTTATTTTGTCCCTGCCCTCTGGGAAGATTAGGAGAAGCAGCTCAGGCCATCCTTCCTCATAGCCCTCAGTAGAGGCATCTCGGGGTACTTGGCCTCTGGCCGGCCCTTTTGGATCTCTCTTGATGCGGTGCTCACCTGTTTCAGTCTCTGCTGGTCTGGGAGTCAGTGGAGGGTGCCCAGCAGCTGGACCCAGCCTGACATTATCCTCTGTCCTGCCAGCAGGCTGGCCGGGCCCCACAGCCAGTGTGAGTGAGCTGGAGCGGCGGCGGTTGGAAGAGGCTCTGGAGGCTGCCCAGGGCGAGGCTCGGGGGGCTCAGCTTCGGGAGGAGCAGCTCCAGGCTGAGTGTGAGCGGCTACAGGGGGAGCTGAAGCAGCTGCAGGAGAGCCGGGCCCAGGTAAGGGGCAGGGCCCCGGAGCCCAGGACCCTGCCCAGAGCTCCACAGAGGCCTGGGGGCCTCTGGAAATAGCCTTTAGAGGCCCAGGACTTCCTCCCTGGGTATAGACTGGCCCTGGGAGTGGTAAAGGGGTGGGGGGTCTGGGCAAGGTGACTGTTGGCATCTGACCTCAGTCTTCCTCCCTAGGATCTTGCCTCCAACCAATCAGAGCGGGACATGGCATGGGTGAAAAGAGTCGGGGATGATCAGTAAGTCACATCTGAAATCCTCTCCCTCTTAAGCTCTGTATCTTGGGGGTGGCATTTCTCAGGTCCCCCCTTCAGTTCACTTCTCCTGCTCTGTGTTGCTTGTAGGACCTCTCTTCCAGCATTAGGGTTGGGGGGTTTGGCTTGCTTGTGTGGCTCTGCATGCTTCACAGGAAGGAGGTGGCGTTCTGGGATGTTCCCTTTGCTTTCTTCTGGCAACCAAGCTTATGCCTCCTTGTGGTGTCAGGGGTTGAGAGGTCTCAGCAGCTTTGTTGCTCTGTTCTGTGTCCCCCGGTGAGCTTCTGGGCCTCTCTGGGGCCCCATTTTCTGTCCCAGTAAGAGGGCCAGGTAGTTGGGTTAGCTGTCCCCTCCCTGGTGAGGAGGAAGGAGGTGGTCTCTTTCAGGATTTGTGGTGCCTTGTTTTCTGTCTCAGGAGAAAGCTGAGGCTGAGAAGAAGAGGGGCTTACTCGAGCTCTGTGGCAGCAGGGAGGGGAGTTAGAACATGCTCTGCTGGGGTGTCCCTTGGGAATCGTGCTGGGAAGGAAGGGCAGCAGGAAGTAGGGAGGGAGCTCTGTCAGCGGGGAGTCCCATGGTGGGGTCCTCTGGGGCAGCACTGGGCAGCCAGGGAGAGGGCAAGTGGCACAGCCTGACAGCAGCGAGCCTGGTGCTTTTCACATCCGCACCCTGAACTCATCCTCTCCCGCTTTCTGAGAAACAGAGCGCAAACCTCCTTCCGCCTAAGCCTTCTTCCCTGAAGCCAGTCGTGTGGCACAGACTCCCTACTTTCATTGGAGGGGAAGACCGAGGCCCAGAGAGGGGCAGGAACTAAATCTCCATTGCACGGGGACCCCAGGGGTCCTCCTTCCAGCAGGCTTCCTTCTCACCTTCCTCCCAGCTTCTGGCCAGTTGGGGATACCCCTCACTTCCCTCTGCACCCTGATGTGAGGGCCTGGGTGGAGCTGTGATAGCTAGGGGGTGAGAACCCAGTTTGTGGGACTGGTGGGTGGGATCCCTCAGCTAGGCTGCTGCGGGGGGTGTCGGGGGTGCTTGTGTAGCGTGTCCGCCCTAGCTTGTGGGTCTGGGCACATCCTAACCCATGTGCCCAAACGCAGAACACACACACACTTTCTAGAAGCCTAGCTTGCCTCAAAAGTTACAGCATAGGGCCCTTTATGGCTCACTGAGTCCCACCCCCTCTTAGCAGACCAGCAGTGAGGGCTCCCAATTCAATTGGTTGAATCCAGAGAGAGGACTTTTTTTGGCAGGGCTGGAACCTGAACAGCAAAGCTTTGAATCCTTCCAGGGATGCTGAGTGGCTTTGCTTTACTGCTACCTCTGCGGCCTCAGGTTTCTGTCCTGGGCTCAGAGGTCAGTCGTTACTGAGAGTTGTGGGAGGAAGGTGATAAGGGTGGGAGGCCAGAGAAGGAACAGTGAATCGAACTGCAGGGGGCCAAGGTGTAAGTGAGTGAGTGAAGGAGAACTCCTCCCATAAGGCGCTTGTGGGGGTCGAGCGTCCATGCTGCCCCTGTGGCCAGGACAGCCCCTTTTCTTCCCACCCGAGGCGCCTGCCCCACCCAGGCCCTTTGGCCAGAGGCTGGCTGGAGCCACTCTTACCAGAGGTGACCTCCGGCTCCTCCCCTCCGTCCCCGGATGGTTGGGACTCTGCCTCGGGGCCTCCTGGACCTCTCTGCCAGGCTCTGCCTGCCCAGCCTCACGCTTCTTTTCAGGCAGAGCATCTCTGGACAGCCCCAGCTTGGCAAGAGTTAATTCTCAGAGGAAGTCCTCACTCCCCCGGCAGTTTTATTTTCTTATAAACTCAGCTCCTTTTGGTAATTGCTTCCCGAGTGCTCCCTCCCCTGTCCTCCCACCGGAGGCCTCAGTCACCTGCTCTCAGCTCACTTTCCCCCACCAGCCCCTCCTCTTCCTTCCATTTTGTCCAGACCCTCCAGGCTAGTGGGAATTTCACCTGTGGGCTTTCCCAGGAGAGGAATGCAGGGCTGGGTTATCCACATGGGAGTTGGGGAAATTCCTGGATCCAGGCTAGCCCTCCGGAGGAGTCTTGTGTGTTCCTGAAAGGTACTTATCTGTCTCCGTTTGGACACCTCCAGGGCAACCACTTTTATTGTGGGGGTCCTGGCTGTTAAAATATCCCCCCTTATACTGCCACTGCCTCTGCTAATCCTACCCACCCACCCCTCCCGCCAGTGGTCCTACCCATGCTGAGGGGACAGGCCTTCAAGGCAGCCCTGGCCCCAAGGATTCCCAGTCCTTCCCATCCCAGCCCCCAGCCCACCTGCTCTGGTCATCAGTGTTCCTCTGAAAGTGGCCATCCAGACCAGACCAGGCCACTCTGCCACCCTCCAGATCTCACCTCTGGGCAAGATTGCCCTGCTGTTTGGTCAGCCCAGCGCTTGGTGTCTGGTGCCCAGGGGACAGACTGTACCAGAGGAAGAGCTGTTGGAGGTCAGTCAGGGGCCCAAAGGCAATGATGAGGGAGGGTGGGAGTGGAGACCAGCCTGCTCCTTAGGATGCACAGGGAGGTAAGGACCCCAGAGGGTCTCAGCCAAGAGTGGGGAGGGCTGCAGAACCCATAGCCCCCTCCCCTCTGAGCCCAGCTCAGAGTCACAGGTCCTGAGTGTGGCCTTTCTGAGGGCGTGGCTAGTGCTGAGGGTGGAGGGGAAATCGTGGAGTGGGGGTTCCTTGAGGGGGCTGAGGGCTCGGGTGGGCAGGCTCAGTGAAGGGAGTGAGGGTGCAGTGAGGGATGGGAGCCCCCCTGTGAGAAGATGGGGCTCAGTATGAGTGATGAGGGAGAGAACTATAGGGCTTGCTTTTTTCCCAACGTGGGGGGCTCAGTGTTGCAGCCCTGGCCCTTTTCCGCCCCCCGCCCCACACCCCTCTCTCCGCCCACAAGCCTCTGCGTGGGCTGCGGTTAGTGGTGGGGGAGAAGTGTGAACTCGGAGAGAGAGGATGGAAACTCTGCACAGAGGTCAAGGGCAGTGTGGGGTGGGTCAGGACGGAAGTCGGAGACCCCCGTGTACCCTGAACTTAGCCTCATGCCCCAGAACCAGCAGGCCCAGGGCCTCCCCCTTCACGCTTCTCACCCTCTCTACTTCCTTTCTTTCAAATCTCCTCCAGCCAGGGCAGGGGTGCTCACAGGAATTAACCCCTGAGCACTTGCAGCCTTGGGACTCCCCAAGGGTGGGGAGCAGCTCTGAAGTTGGCGCCCAGCACTCCCTCCTCATTGTGGTCTGAGGGATCGGTGGGCTTTGAATTTGTCTCTGACTCTTTCCTTGCCAGGAAGGCTGAGAGCAGCTCTTACCCACACTGTCTCCCTCGATGGGAAATTGCACATCCTCCCCTCATTCTTAAACCAAAGTTATTCAGCTGGTTGGTATCTCCAAAAAAGGATCAAAACAACCTTCTTTCTTCCTCTACCTGTCTCCTGGGCACTCCTGATCCTTCGTCCAGGCGGGACACTGTGTGAGGCAGTTTACCTGCAAACTCTTATTTCATTCTCACGGAAGATATGAAGGTATTGTCCCCTTTTACTGCTGAGCAAACTGAGGTACAAAGAAGTTAAGTAACTGGAGCAGTTAAGAGAGAAGTTAAGTGTGACTACCAAGCGGGTCCTGGGCAGATGGGGCAATAGTACCTCTGTGGTGTTTTTCTGGTTCAGGTTCTTCCTCAGGTAGGAGGCTCTTCTATGAGGGATGATCGGATGACTTGTTGACCAAACCTGGTCAGTTTTGAAAGTGAAAATTTCAATATGTTAACATTTCAAAAATCTTCATAATTCTGCTGGGGCAACTCATGTGAACCAGGATAGTCCTGGGCCAATTGGGATGCATGCCCCCCCCCGCCAGGTACTCTGGTCCCCAGCCCCGGCATGAGCTGCTTAGCGTGGCTGTCTCTCAGGAGCTTTCCAGATGCAGCAAGCATCTAGCTGTGCTGGGAGCATGGCAGGGCTGCCATGAAGAGCCAGGCTCTGCGGACCGCAAGTCATAGCTGGTCGAGGAGAGTGAAGGGGCTCAAGGCGCCTAAAAGGAAGTGGTAGAGCACTGGGTTGTTACAGAGCGACTTCCTCCTGCCCCTGGCCCGCGACCTCAAGTCCGCTCCACGGCCTGGTGCCTGTGGTTCCCTCCCCGAGTGTCGGGCGGGAAGACTGATGCTGGGTGTGCCCGTGGGTGGTGGAAAGTTTGGTCCCAAAATTCCCCCATGAGGGTGAGGTGGCTGCTCTGGGCAGCTCTGGGCAAAGATGGAAGGGCTGGGAATGCTGGATTTCTGTTTTCCTCCTGATTCTGAGTCAGCTGGTGATTCTGACCACATGACCAGCTCTGTGTGGTCCTGACGCCAATCCTACCTAATACTGGTCCCATCCCTGACTTTAGTCCTATCCCTCATCCTGACCCCGTGTCCACAATCCTGATGGAAAATGAACTATCAGCCCCAGCCCTAATCTGACCCTGACCCCAGCCTTAATCCTGACCTCAAGTCCATCCCTAGTTCCAAAGCCATGGCTCAGCGCTGGCCCTCCCTGTGGCCGGCCCAGCATGGGCCCCCAGTGAACTTCCCTGGGGAAGGTGCTGCCGAGTCCATGTGCCTCCCAGCTGGTTCGGGGTAGAAAGAGCCCCTTTACAGAGGGAGGCTTCGGTCCCTGACCTTCCTCATCTCAGTTGCTTTATCAATCACAGTGAAGATTATTGTTTCCAGATGAAATTTTGAGATCCCGGAATTATTCGTGGAAAGAATGAATGGAGGGATAAGTCAATGAAGGGTGGGAAGATTTGCAGCGGAGGGAGTCCTCCTTCCTGCCAGCACGCCATTTGTTCTCTGGCTCTTCCGAAGGTGCCAGCTCAGCAGGCTGAGGTGCCAAGAGCAGGTTTGAGTCCCTGCTCTGTGCCTCCACTGCTCTGTGACCTTGAGCCAGCTTCTTCATAGCTCTGATCTTCCACATATGTCTAGCACCTTCCTCTCCCCTCCCAGGGCATGGGTGGTGGTGCTCAGGAGCTCCCCAGCTTCCCCCCCCCTCATTTTTCCCTTCTGCCACCCTCCCAGCCCCCCCTTCCCCTGCTTTCCTGATCCTCCTGGAAGGCAGTACATAGCTCAGTGGTCAGTAGCCTGGACCTTCGTAGAGTCCAGGGGGCCAGTCCTGCACTGCTCCTAGGCTTGATGACTCTGTAAGCCTCAGTCCTGTCATCTGTAACATGGAGACAGGAGTGGCCACATTGTGGGGTTGTTTTGAAGATTCAGGAATGTTCTTTAGCATGATGCCTGGCACCGTGGTAAGCCCTCATCAAGGTTACCTATCATTCTTTTCTCCCTAGGTCCCTCCCAGGTTCTGAGAGATGCAGACAGAACTCCCCCCGCATAATTTAAGCAATCAAGAAGTGCCCAGAGCAGCCATCTGCTGCCGTTCACCCAACCCATGCTTCCCAAACAGTTGCGATGGTGGGGACTAGCATTCAGGTGTGGGCCGGGAAGCCAGGAAATGGAATGTGCATTCAGATGCACGTGTGCAAGCCTTGGTTGTGTTGTGAAGTTGAGATTTTTTTTCCACTGAATTGGCAGTGTTTTCTAATGTGAGTCATTCAGGTCATTAGCATCTTTAGCAGCCCGGGCCTGTGCCTCTTGAGGTGGGAAGAGATGCTTGATGAAAGGGGCGGTCCGGACGGGCCATGGGACGTCAGGAGATCCAGCCCCACCACCTTGCCTGGGGTCTTAGAGATCTTTGTGAGGCTGCTTGGGGCTCCCCCCCCAGTCACCCTCTCCCTGCATCTGGTTAGAGCTGGGAGAGGGGCTGGGCATTCTGGGCTAGGGGCTTCCTGCTGACCTGTTTTTCCATGAGGAGGGTGCCAGGAACAGGGTGGTGGAAACTGGGGTAGCTCCTGACAAGGGGAGGAAGGCAAGTAGGGGAGAGATAGGGGCCTGGGAACTGAGTGTGGCAGGTGAGATCTCCAAGGCGGGGTGTGAAGGTGCCGACCTGTATCTGTCACCTGAGATACAGCAGTGAAGGCGGATGGGGAGAGGACTAGCAGCCGCCCCGCTGCTCTGTCAGAGGGGGATGCTCCTTCGGTGCCCTGCTCAGAGCCCCCTCCTGCTCCTGCCACTGAGGGTCAGCATGAGCCTCTGAAGCCCCCAGTCTGATGGGGGAGACATAGCTCCTGCACTCAGAGGGGAGCCTGTCACTGGGGAGTCCCCAGTTTGATGTGGGACACACAGGCTGCTCCTTCCGGTGTGATGGGGGCGATGCCATTTCTTCCCACAGACCCGTGGGATGAAGATCGGGGAGCACAGGACACATCACGTAAGGGCTGAGACATGATAGAACTGAGGTTCCAGCACCTCGGCCAGGGTTCCCCAAAGGACTCCCTCCTCTCTGCTCCCATCCATCCCTGTGCACCCTCAGATGGGGAGTGAGCACTCTCTCTTCCTAGGAAGTGGACTTGTCCCCCAGAATCCCAGCCTCTTTGCAATAATTTGGCTTTGGCCCAAATGGGTTAAAAATAGTTTTGTTGTGGGAGGGGCTTTTGCCTCCCCCATCAGCCAGCTCGCCCCAGGATTAGCAAGAGAGAACCAGCCAGTGAGCAGAGAGTGTAGAGTGAAGGAGCTCAGTCATCATCTACCCTCTGCACCTCGGCTTTTCCTGCCCTCTGAAGCCCTAACCTCAAGACTTCCCCTTCTCTCCTCTAGGGTCAGACACACACTCACTCACTCACTCACACTGTCCCTCACACTCAACTGGGCTCACTCCTACCTTCACTCCCTCCCTTCCACATGCATCCTCTCTCCCATGACCATTACCTTGGGATGGGGACAGGGCCCTCAGGGTCTGGAGACACCCCCCCAACTCTATTCATGCCTAGCACCCTACAGCTCCTAGAGCAAGAAGGCCTCCCCTGGGAAGAGATCCATCTGGAATGGCTGAGCCTCTCCCTGCCACCTCCCTCCAGCTCCAACTTCCACAAAGCTCAGGAGTCCCTTCTGGACTTGGGAAGGGGGCGGGGAGATCCGATGAAGCCGAACCCCTGCCTCCCAGGCTCCTGCCTCCCAGGCTCCTGCCTCCCAGGCTGTGTCCAAGCCTGGGACAGAGATGAAAGCAGTGACCCAAGGCGACCACAGAGCGGCATGTGAGGTCAGGAAGGGCTCCCTGGAGGGGTGCAGCCCAGGCTGGGAGAGGGCAGGGGCAGTGCGGGGGGAGAGAGAGAGAGAGAGAGAAAGAGAAAGAGAGAGAGAACCTTCTGCAGTTCTGAACAAAGTGACCCAAAGAAAAAGGAAGAGAAAAGGAAGTGGGTGAAGTCTTTGCTAAGTTCAGAGCCTGTTCCAGCTCCGTGCAGGTGGGTGCCCAGGAGGAAGTGGAAGGAAGAAAGGGAAGAAGAAAGGCAAATGGATGGGGAGGCTCCATTCATTCTTCACTTCCTGAGCATCTACTGGGTGCCAGGCCTGGACAGGGTGCTGGGAATACAGATACAGCAACATAATGCTCCCTTTTGAAGAACTCCCAGGGCAGTTCCAGAACAAGGCCACTTCTGCTAAGTGCTTATCGTGGGTGGCGCCCTCTGGAGGTGTGCGGGACAGCAGCTGCCCACAAAGCTCTCCATGTGAAGGGCTCCCTGGAGACTCCGGGAGGTGTGAGACTGAAAGCACAGGGGCAGCTCTGAGGCAGAAGCAAGGGCAGTGGACTTGGCACTTGGCAGACCTGGGTTCCAGTTTGTCACTTGGCTCCTCTGGCAAGCCAGAAGGCCGTGTCCTCACCTACGGGATGGGGCTCTTAGGCTGTAGAGCACGGACGGGTCTCCAGTCCTTCAAAGGTGAGGACTCCTCGTGGAGCCCCTGCCCCCAACACACAGGTTGCAGTTAAACACTTTTAGTATTTGCTCTTTGAAAAATTCACAGTAACTGAAGTTACTATAAGTTCAGTGCTCGTTTTTGATGAATCTGTTTTATCCGTCACCACAGCTTCTGCACAAATTAGAAAACATTCACACACACCTGTGTCAGATGTGTTCAGGCCATAGGCAGTGCCTGGTGAGCACATGGATTCAGGGACCCCTTGGCGTCACTGAGCTCCCCAGCCCCAGTCACTGCCCTAGTCTGGGAGCCACTGCTCTAGCCCCAGGTAAGGTTCACTGGGAAGAGAGGGAGGCTCCCTGGAAGAGGTGGTGTTTGAGGTAGACCTTCTGCCCTTGGGGTAGGAGGGCCCTGGAGGGAAGGGAGAGCCAGAGGCTGGGGGACAGCCAGCTGTCCGTCCACAGCTGGGATAGTACACCCACTTCCCTTCTCTCCCTCACTCCGTGCCCTCCCACCGCAGGGTCAGGGCCGGCTGGAGTCAAGCCTTGTCTGGGGGGGCTGGGGTGTCCTTTAGGGTGAACTTGGCGCTGGCTTACACGGAGCTGACAGAGGAGCTGGGCCGGCTGCGGGAGTTGAGTTCCCTGCAGGGGAGGATCCTGAGGACTCTGCTGCAGGAGCAGGCCCGGAGTGGCGGTGAGATGGGGGGGCCGGGAAGGGGAGGCCCGGGGAGCTGGGTCCGAAGGGAGCGCGGCAGCTGTGGCTACCGTCCCGCGTCCTGGGGCCACGGTTGCCTTCCCTTCCCCGCCGGCTCTTTCCTCACCCGCGTTCCGGGGAGAGCGGGTGGGCGCTGGGCGCCGGCAAGCCCATGGCTCCCCCAGTTCTGACGTCTTCTCTCCCCCCATTGCTGTCCTTCGTGCTTGTGCTTCTCTTCCAGGCCAGAGGCACTCCCCGCTGTCGCAGCGCCACTCCCCGGCCCCCCAGTGCCCCTCACCATCCCCGCCTACCCGAGCGGCGCCCCCGTGCCCCCCGTGCCAGTCCCCCGCCCCCCAGCGCCGCTCTCCCGGGCCCCCGTGCCCCTCGCCCCAGCAGCGCCGCTCGCCGGCCTCGCCCTCCTGCCCGTCGCCC